TCATAATATTCCTCTTGAAACCTTTGACAAACATGAACTATGTATAACACAAATATAAGGACATGTATAAGAGGCTTTGCGTTGGCAAGACGTTTCAGACTCTCCGTTCAGCTTCTCGTCACAATGCTACTAAAGTGGTAACATGAGCCTGTGTGTCTGTGGAGTGCTTGTAGTGTGTCTGTGGTGTGCCTGTGTAGTGCTTGTGGTGTGTCTGTGGTGTGTCTGTGTCTGTGGTGTGCCTGTGGTGTGTCCGTGGTGTGTCCGTGGTGTGTCTGTGGTGTGTTTGTGGTGAGCCTGTGGTGTGTCTGTGGTGTGTCTGTGGTGTGTCTGTGGTGTGCCTGTGGTGTGTCTGTGGTGAGCCTGTGGTGAGTCTGCGGTGTGTCTGTGGTGTGTTTGTGGTGAGCCTGTGGTGTGTCTGTGGTGTGTCTGTGGTGTGCCTGTGGTGTGTCTGTGGTGTGCCTGTGTAGTGCTTGTGGTGTGTCTGTGGTGTGTCTGTGTCTGTGGTGTGCCTGTGGTGTGTCCGTGGTGTGTCCGTGGTGTGTCTGTGGTGTGTTTGTGGTGAGCCTGTGGTGTGTCTGTGGTGTGTCTGTGGTGTGTCTGTGGTGTGCCTGTGGTGTGTCTGTGGTGAGCCTGTGGTGAGTCTGCGGTGTGCCTGTGGTGAGTCTGTGGTGTGTCTGTGGTGTGCCTGTGGTGTGTCTGTGGTGTGCCTGTGGTGTGCCTGTGGTGAGTCTGCGGTGAGCCTGTGGTGTGTCTGTGGTTTGCCTGTGGTGAGTCTGCGGTGTGCCTGTGGTGCCTGTGGTGTGTCTGCGGTGTGACTTTGGTGTGTCTGTTGTGTCTGCGATGTGCCTGTGGTGTGTCTGTTATGTCTGTCTGAGGTGTGCCTGTGGTCTGTCTGCGGTGTGCCAGCGATGTGCCTGTGGTGTGCCTGTTGTGTCTGCGCTGTGTCTGTGGAGTGCCTGTGGAGTTTCTGCGATGTTTCTGATAGTCGTAAACGCTGTGTGCCATTATTGTTATGACATAGCCTTCATGCACAGAAATTGCGATAATTACACCAAGTATCCTTACTTGTTATAACATGACGCTGTTGTTTCAAATCACATGCATTCTGTTTTGTCCATTCATCTTTCTTCAGGCAATTTAAAACATGCATTTTTTCTATCATTTTAAAATATCATCTGATCGATGATGTTTTGCATTGGTCTAAATAATACTTCGCTACTAAACGTTATCGTCACAGTCCTTTATTTCTGCAAGGCATCTTTACAGTACTTTCATGATGTATGACACAATCACAATCAAATTGCTGCATCACGCCGTTATGCAACTCCCCCGCTACATAACATTGTTTTAATCCGTTATTGTTACATCAATACAAACCTGTGTAGGTACATGTCATATGTACATAGAGGTTATCAGGAATGCGTATTGTATTCAGGCAGCCTTGGTATTCCTAATACAGGTCTTTTATCATCGTTACGAACCTTTATACCTACAAGACTTCGTGACAATCCTTTATAGCTGCAATACATCGGTACAATCCTTTATAGCTGTAAGACATCAGTGCAATCCTTTATAGCTGTAAGACATAGGTACAATCCTTTATAGCTGTAAGACGTCTGTACAATTCTTTATATCTGTAAGACATCGGTAAATCCTTTATAGCTGTAAGACATCGGTACAATCCTTTATAGCTGTAAGACATCGGTACAATCCTTTATAGCTGCAAGACATCGATACACTCCTTCATAGCTGTAAGGCATCGGAACAATCCTTTTTTTTGCTGCGAGAGATCGGTGCAATTTTGTATTGCTGCCAAACATCATTACAAAATATGGTTCACGGGAATTTTCATAACCAACCAATGGGCTTTGCATTTAATTTACAGTTCGTGTTAATTCATATTATTTCATCTCACTTGTCTGTTTCCCTTCAGAACTATTGCATTAATACAGTATGTATCAGTTATTCACATACATAATATGTATTCACAAGTGATGCCAAAATCGGTACAATCCTTTATAGCTGTAAGACATCGGTACAATCCTTCATAGCTGAAGACATAGGTACGATTCTTTATAGCTGCAAGACATCGGTACAATCCTTTATAGCTGCAAGACATCGGTACAATCCTTTATATCTGCAAGACATCAGTGTAATCCTTTATAGCTGTAAGATATAGGTACAATCCTTTATATCTGTAAGACATCGGTACAATCCTTTATATCTGCAAGACATCAGTGTAATCCTTTATAGCTGTAAGATATAGGTACAATCCTTTATATCTGTAAGACATCGGTACAATCCTTTATATCTGTAAGACATCGGTACAATCCTTTATAGCTGTAAGACATCGGTACAATCCTTTATATCTGCAAGACATCAGTGTAATCCTTTACGGATGTAAGATATCGGTACAATCCTTTATAGCTGTAAGACATAGGTACAATCCTTTATAGCTGTAAGACATCGGTAAAATCCTTTATAGCTGCACGACATCAGTACAATCCTTTATAGCTGTAAGACATAGGTACGATCCTTTATAGCTGCAAAACATCGGTACAATCGTAGTGGTTGTCAATCTTAGTTGTTGTCAGTCGTAATGGTGGTTAGTCGCAATGGTGGTCAGTCGCAATGGTGGTCAGTCGCAGTGGTTGTCAATCGCAGAGGATGTCAATCGCAGAGGATGTCATTCGCAGTGGTGGTCATTCACAGTGGTTGTCATTCGCAGTGGTTGTCATTCGCAGTGGTTGCCAATCGCAATGGTGGTCAGTCGCAGTGGTTGTCATTCGCAGTGGTTGTCAATCGCAGAGGATGTCATTCGCAGTGGTTGTCAATCGTAGTGGTGGTCAGTCGCAGTGGTTGTCATTCGCAGTGGTTGTCATTCGCAGTGGTTGTCAATCGTAGTGGTTGTCAATCGCAGATGATGTCATTCGCAGTGGTTGCCAATCGCAGTGGTTGTCATTCGCAGATGATGTCATTCGCAGTGGTTGTCAACCGTAGTGGTGGTCAGTCGTAATGGTGGTCAATCGCAGAGGATGTCAACCGCAGTGGTTGTCAATCGTAGTGGTTGTCAATCGCAGTGGTTGTCAATCGCAGTGGTTGCCAATCGCAGTGGTTGTCAATCGCAGCACTTGGCTGTCACACCGTAGCTTCTAGATTCCAATAACACACATTGATCATACCTAATATCACATCCCATTATTTTTCATTCACTTTCCCCTTTGTACACACTGCGATCAACGCGTGAAGAACCTTTCACCCAATAACTCAATACTCCATCCATGTATGTGATATATGACGGACTAAGTTAATTAACTACATTATCTCCCTTGTATGCTGCACACAACGTCCCCGTCTACCACAGTGGCAATGTGTAACGTACGTCAATATCACGGCTTGAGTGACACTAACAAAGGTATTTTCCACAGGCCTTTTTAACGGTCTGCACCAAGACGAGGTTTTCCCTGTTCGGCTCGGGGGTGTTTTATCAACACTTCAAACATTCAAGTGGTCTACTGTCGGGGGTCTTTTCAACCGTTATTCACAAGTATTCCTTTGTCCTTTCATTCACTCTGTCCTTTGTGCAGGATGGCTTCGATGTGTCAGAGAGTTCATTATACCGACACTGCAAGCAATCTAGGTGACCGTAATAGAATGTCGAGTTCAATGTGTGTGGATGTGATAGTGACACTTTTTCATATTGAATGTGAAGGCGAATGATGTGGTTGCGGATGTACTGATCCTATCTCCTTCTCGTTCAATTTCTAAGAAAGAATGCAAATATTCCAATGATGTCATTTCTACTGTCGCCGTGTTCGACATACCTGACCATCCTTAGTTTCTGAAAAAGTGTTCCAAATGTGTATAAACCTATTAACATGGGGAAAATGGACAAAATTTGACAAATATTTAATCATGTTACATGCGACATATTAAGAATTGCATGTGGTGAGAAAATGTGAAATTACACACCAACAGACCATGTTCCAAAGTCATAAAGCTATGGTTATGACGTGTTAAATTCGGGGCGTTAAAGCAAAATCCGTGATGTACCCGTTACACTGCAGCCAGTGAATGATTGTTGTTTTAGCCGTACCCAGCTACTTCACAGCTGCCTGTAAATAATGTAATCGCGTGGGCAAGTGTGTTGAGCCTTGAACATTATTGCAGAGATTCAGAGTGTGAGCTTGATCTGGGAGGAAGGCCCGACGTGATGCAGGCCTTGGACCTTTACCACTTTGATGAAACCCATGCGCACGGGTATGGTGCTGACAAACCAGGAACATTATCAGAGCGAATCAGGGATTCGAACCCAGATCCGAGGATTCTGCCACGCCTTAGGCACATAACTTGAATTGAGGCGCCTTAGATGACTGGGCCAAGGTGCCCCAATATTATCGAGTCTGGACCACGGTGCCCCAATATAATTGAGTCTAGGCCACGGTGCCCCAACATGATCGAGTCTAGGGCACGGTGCCCCAATATGATCGAGTCTGGGCCACAGTGCCCCAATATGATCGAGTCTGGGTCACGGTGCCCAATATGATCGAGTCTGGGCCACGGTGTCCCAATATGATCGAGTCTGGGTCACGGTGCCCCAATATGATCGAGTCTGGGCCACGGTGTCCAATATGATCGAGTCTGGGTCACGGTGCCCCATTATGATCGAGTCTGGGCCCACGGTGCCTCAATGTAATCGAGTCTGGGCCACGATGCCCCAATATGATCGAGTCTGGGCCACAGTGCCCCAATATGATCGAGTCTGGGCCACTGTACCCAATGTGATAGAGTCTGGGTCACGGTGCCCAATATGATCGAGTCTGGGCCACGGTGTCCCAATATGATCGAGTCTGGGTCACGGTGCCCCAATATGATCGAGTCTGGGCCACGATGCCCCAATATGATCGAGTCTGGGACAGCAAAACTAGTGGTTGACAAATGTACCCAAGGCCATCAAACATTTCTGTATCATTGTGTCATGTGTGTTCTGTTTGTTTCAGCCTGCCACTACAATGGATACATGATATGAGGTGAAGGTCGACACGTTCAGTTACTCGTCCAATCTTGCCGCCATGTTGACAACTTTTTTCAAAAGAAGGCGCCGAGCGTCCTCCATCACCTTTCTTGGACTAGTAGCCTTCATGTTCCTGTGCTTATGGAACTTTTCTACAATGGACAACCCTTCTCAAACATATGTGCACAGATTCAGACTATTCGGCGGAGCTGCGGAAGAAGACCTGCCGTCTGACTTTTACAAACTACCGGCGGATGATCCTACGCTGGTGGATATAGTTCGTAGCAAGTTCCGGTCTCCATCGACAATGGATTATAACCTGACTAAACCAGACCAGCGAGACTTCTCACGCGGACCAAGTGAAGTTATTGACGGGATCCTTGGTTCAAAGGTAAAATATAGCAATAAAACGTTTAAAAAACCAAACACATAATTTAAGTAAGACTTGACATCAATGTTTTTTTGCGTTTATTGAGGGATAAACGCACAGCCGGCTTACACACTGAGTAAATCAGCTTAGCGGATTTACAGAAAGTGTGCACAATTACCGCAATTACCTATTAAAGTCAATTCTTTTAAACACGTCAACGATACGGGGTAGAATAGATCTTCAGTAATCCATGCTTGCTGTAAAAGGCGACTATGCTTGTCGTAAGAGGCGACTAACGCGATCGGGTGGTCAGGCTCGCTGACTTGGTTAGTGCATGTTATCGTATCCTAATGGCGTAGATTGATGCTCATGATGTCAATCACAGGATTATGTGTTACGACAAGCATGGGTTGCTGAAGACCGGTTCTCTGCCCGGATCTTCACGGGTCTTATATCTAATAAATGACATTGTGTTTGCTCAAGTTAAGAGGTTCTATATACTAAATGGCCTGGTACCGATTTCCAGTTCAGGTATAAACATTGGTCGATTTCACAAAGCGAGGGTAACCCAGTTGTTGAAGCGTTCGTTCGTCCGCCAAAGACCCGGGTTCGACTCCCGACATGGGTACAATGTGTGAAGCCTATTTCTGGTGTCCCCCGCCGTGATATTGCTGGAATATTGCTTAAAGCCGCGTAAAACCATAATCACTCACTCACTCAAAAAACGATTTTAGCGTTATGCGACTATCGTAAACCAATGTTAAAGTATAAGTGTTTTTCCCATAAGTGACAAAAGGTCTGAGACATACATCACCTCGAACTTCGGAAAAAAGGGGGGCACGGGTGGCCCAGTCGCCTAAGGCGCCGCGATTCGCTGTGCAGAGTTGCGTCCCTTGGGCACGCCAGAAACCTGTGATTGTGGGTTCGAATCCCGGTTTGCCCGATTATGTTTCTAGGTTTGTCAGCACCATACCCGTGCTCGTGGGTTTCACCGAAGTGGTAAACGTCTGAGGCCTGCATCACTTCGGGCTTTCCTTCAACATTAAGCTGACACGCCGTGATATAACTGGAATACTGTTAAAAGTAGCGTTAAACCCAACTCACTCACTCACTCGGAAAAACAGAAATACTGTTGAAAGTGAAGTTAAACCAATCTCAATCAAATATTTACAGCCCGCAGTGATACAGCTGGGATATTGCAGACTGCGACTTCAAACAACATTCATTCACTCTTAAGTGAAACAGCACCTGTGTCGGCTGTGTGTAAGAGGGTCGCTCGGGTTACTAAAACATAATCCTTTTTTTAAAACAAATGATTGTACAGGTCTTTATTACATGCTCGTATGTGGCAGTCTTGAGTCATGATGGGAGAACGAGGCGAGGCGTTTTGGGCTACTTACGTAATAGCACATGTCACAAGTGACAAATCACCAGACTTTAGGAAAGGATGTCGACACACTAAACTGCCTGTAAAAATCTCCATCTAGTTTTAAACTGCAAATTTCTTTATACTGTCGGAAAAAGACGTTCTTGTGATATGTTTACGGAAAGGGAGACATAGCATTAGCCTTTAATACAAAGATAAACATGCTTGATAAAAATAAATAAAATTACACAGCTTGAATGATGATACGAGGAAATTCAACTTATCAGCTCAAACTGGCTTCCATAGGACATGACGCTTGGTTAAGATTCAGCGATATATTTTATACTTCAGTGTGAAAGACTGAATTTTCTGTGGACCGCCTCCGTGGTCTAATGGCAGAGCGTCTGCCCGGAGAGCGGAAGGTCCTGGGTTCGATCCACAGCCGCGTCATACCAAAAGACGTTAAAAGATGGTACTTGTTGTTACCCCGTCTGGCGCTCGGCATTCAGGGGCTAAAACAAGGACAGGTCGGCTCGGAGTCAGTATACTGTGTCTGAGTGGGGTATTCATGTTAAACTGCGGCATGGTATCTCAGTGTGATAGCACTATAAATCGGCATCAGTCCGGACTAGTACAAGCAGCCACACACACACACATACACGTGCGTGCACGTCGCTATATAAGTGCAATAATCTTGGACGCGACGTTAAACCCCATTTCACCTCACCTGAATTTTCTGAAGTTGAGAAAAGTGTTATTTTCATTGAAGTGAACATAACACTTGATATTTCACTGCAGTGAACATAACAATTTGCCGGAACTATTGTCAGACAAGAGCTACCTCCCCGAAAATTGTCTCCCTTTATCGTAAGTGTCTGGCCCGTTTACAAACTGTTGAGTTCCTTGATACGTTAGTTCCCCACTGACAAAGCAAAATAAATACAGTTGGTCATTTATGGAGCTGATATCGCTTATTGCTGTTTGTTATTCTCTTGAAAATGTTTCTTTATAAACTGTAAATTTCACATTTAACTCGTCAATCGAGAGTGTTTATTTCGCAAAGCGCCATTTTTGTTACTTAAAGGATTCTTAAAAAGGTTTCTACACATGCTTTATATTCGTGATTAATGAATACTTAGGTATATAAGCTATACACTCAACACAGTTTGACAAGCGTGTATTCCTTCGCTTCCAACAGCGGTCTCGTATCTTTCAAGAATATATTTTTTAAAGTTGATTTCGTATACAATTATATCCAAGTGTATGATAAAGAATTTTAGTGACCTCAAATATTTTTTGTTACTTTTGTTTATTTTTGTTAAGATTGCAAACTCGGAACTACTTCTTAAGTCGCAATTACAAGGGGTGGTGAAATGTCACTGCGTGTCAATGTTTCAAGGTTTTACATTTGTAATGAAAACAAAATCCGGTTGACAACTACACAAAAAGTATATAATAAATGGGATATTCCATGTCTCGTGAAATATTATGATTCTTTCATCTCGTGACGGGTCAAAGAAGTGAAAATATTTCCTTTTCCACGTCACGAGATGAGAGAAACATGATATTTCACGAGACACATGAAATATACTCTATGTCTTCCGGGGGATATTGCTGCAATAAAATTACATCACAATGCTTTGCAGACCATTGTGGCGATACCGGTTACCATGACATTAGCGAGGGGAGTTATTCAAAGAGGAGGTTGTTATTCCAAAGGGAGTTTGTTATCCCAAAGGGGAGGCTGTTATTCAAAAGGGAGGTTGTTATTCAAAGAGGGGTCGTTATTCCAAAGGGGAGGTTGTTATTCAAAGGGAGGTTGTTATTCCAAGGGGAATGTGTTATTAAAAAGGGAGTTTGTTATCCCAAAGGGGAGGCTGTTATTCAAAAGGGAGGTTGTTATTCAAAGAGGGGTCGTTATTCCAAAGGGGAGGTTGTTATTCAAAAGGGAGGTTGTTATTCAAAGAGGGGGTTGTAATTCCAAAGGGAAGGTGGTTTTTCAAAGAGGGTGTGTGTGTGTGTGTGTGTGGTGGGGGGGGGGAAGTTGGTTATTCAAAGAGGGGGGTTGTTATTCCAAAGGGAAGGTGGTTATTCCAAGGGGAGTTATTCAAAGGGAGGTTGTTATTCCAAGGGGAATGTGTTATTAAAAAGGGAGGTTGTTACTCAAAGAGGAGGTTGTTATTCCAAGGGGAGCTTGTTATTTCAAGGAGAGGTTGTTATTTAAAGAGGAGGTTGTTATTTAAAGAGAAGGTTGTTATTCCCAAAGGAGTTTGTTATTCCAAAGGGAGTTTGTTATTCCCAAAGGAGTTTGGAATAACAAGCTTCCCTTTGAATAACAAAGGGGGGGTTGTTATTTATAAAAGAAGTTGTTATTCAAAGAGTCCCGTGAAGATCCGGGGAAGAATAGGTCTTCAGCAACCCATGCTTGTCGTTAGAGGCGACAAACGTGATTGGGTTGTCAGGCTCGCTGACTTGGTTGATGCATGTCATCGCATCTTAATTGCCAAGATCGATGCTCATGTTATTTATCACTGGATTGTCTGGTCCAGACTCGATTATTTACAGACCGCCGTCATATAGCTGGAATATTGCTGAGTGCAGCGTTAAACAACAAACAAACAAACAAAGGGAGGTTTTTATTCAAAGGGGATGTTGTTGTTCAAAGGGGGGTATTATTCTAAGGGGTGGGGTTATTATTCAAAGGGAAGATGATTATTCATATACGCTCCCTTACAACATAAACCCCAAGTATACACCTGTATTATGGTCGTGCAGGTGCCAAGTTAATTATACCTACACTCGTGTCACGTCAGGAAGACGTATGGGCGTTGTTCTCTCCAGCTTAAAACATGAAACGTTCTGCATAAAACAAGGCATGAATATTCATGGACGACGCCGAGGCCTTGGTACATCACGTGGATGAAATACATCACTGAGACAAAACAAACAAACAAACAAACAAACATGCTGAGGGTTTTCATAGCAATCACTTATGTTGTTATTAATTTCACAGGGATGGTACAACTGCATTAAAGATGAGTTTACTTCATTTAGAATTAATTTTGAATTAAAATGTTAGTGAATTTAATTCTACGATTAAGTGAGAAATGGTGTGTATTAACGGATTGCTACAATACAAATCGCAGACACTCCAGGGGCCATACTTTACGTTTCACTGTTCAGGTCTGAAACGCTTCCAAATAATAACAAGAGGTATCTACTCTACAGTGGTACTACCTCAAATTTCAAAACACGGTAGGTTTATTTCCTAATTAGTAGATCGTTTTCAGTTTCAAGAAAATCAGTAAATACGCTGTCGTTGACGTTTTATATTTAATCAGACGCATCTTTTAATGATATAGTCCATGTCTTTATTAGCGGACAACAAGCATACACTTTTAACAGAATTAATCACTCGGAAATAACGGCATTTTATGGCCCACAGGATCCGCATAATTTTCCGCATGGTGCATTGTCATGTTTTGTTTTGTTTGTTTGTTGTTCAACGCCGCACTCAGCAATATTCCAGCTATATGACGACGGTCTGTAAATAATCGAGTCTGGGCCAGACAACCCAGTGATTGACACCATGAACATTGATCCACGCAATTGGGATCGATGACATGCATAAACCAAGTCAGCGAGCCTGACCACCCGATCCCGTTAGTCGCCACTTACGACAAGCATAGTCGCCTTTCACAGCAAGCATGGGTTGGTGAAGATTAATGATTAATGCTATTCTATCCCGGATCTACACGGGCCTGCATTGTCATGAATGTTATCACATGTGTTCATATGAATGACTTTGTTCATTTCAACGGTTGCATGTACTGCTTGCTGCTATGCCTCATAATGACATGTACATCTGTTGCCAGTCTTACATACGTGCACACTGTACTAATGTCTCACAATTGTTATTGATTATTGCCTGCGAAATACGTTGTGTGTCCTAATTCCTGGTGTATGCAATCGTATTGCTATGAATCCACAAGACAGTTACTTGATATGTCTGGTGGGGACACTGGTGGCCCAGTCATCTAAGGCGCCGCGATTCCCTGTGCAGAGTTGCGTCCCTTGGGCACGCCAGAAAGCTATGATTGCGGGTTCGAATCCCGGTTCGCCCCTATGATGTTTCTAGGTTTGTCAGCACCATACCCGTGCTCGTGAGTTTCACCGTAGTGGTAAACGTCTGAGACCTACATCACTTCGGGCTTTCCTCCCACATTAAGCTGACACGCCGTGATATCACTGGAATACTGTTAAAAGCGGCGTTAAACCCAACTCACTGACTGATATGTCTGGTTGTCCATGCCTCGCTGTCTCCAGTGTCCTGATATCTCAACGTTACAGCACGGTCCCGCAATGCCTCGCTGTCTCCAGTGTCCTGATATCTCAACGTTACAGCACGGTCCCGCAATGCCTCGCTGTCTCCAGTGTCCTGATATCTCAACGTTACAGCACGGTCCCGCAATGCCTCGCTGTCTCCAGTGTCCTGATATCTCAACGTTACAGCACGGTCCCGCAATGCCTCGCTGTCTCCAGTGTCCTGATATCTCAACGTTACAGCACGGTCCCGCTTGGTTACAGCTTTTCGGGAAGCGTTTTTCTGACATTTGAACATCAGCCAGTCTTCGACCGAAGCTGATTATCATAGATGTAAATAAAACATTACAAATATAAGGTAAAAAAGTAATGTTAGGTCACGGCCTTGCTCATACTTGGATTTTCATTGGAAGTTCGAGAAATCAGCATTTATGAGTCATTTAGCCATACGTATGCCTTTACTCATGACAGGAGTCCAAAGAATGCAATGGTCAGAGGAAAAGGGCTACTTCTCTGCCATTTACACGTCTTACAATTGTCAAACAAATATAAGTTTGTTCTTCATTTGTCCCCAGGAGAACGGCTTCTTCGTTGATTGCGGGGCCTTCGACGGCGAGTCCAAGTCGGTGACTCTGATGTTCGAGAGGCTGCGACACTGGCGGGGTCTGTTGGTGGAGCCGAACAGGGACCGCTACCTCCAGATTGTCAAGAAAAACCGGAAGGCGCATTCCATCAACGCATGCGTGCGCACAGACATAGAGAACTATGGTGTAGGTATTCCTTAATGAACTATGTTTGTTTGTTTGTTGTTTTACACCGTACTCCATCTATGTGAGTGAGGTCTGTAAATAATCCAGTCTGGACCAGACCATACAGTGATTTACAACATGAGCATCGATCAACGCAATTGGGATACGATGACATGCATCAACGAAGTCAGCAAGCCCAGTGATGAGTCCTATCCAAAGAAGCACGGAGTGTAGTGGCCCCCGTATTGATATACATACAGTGTCATTAAACCAACTGGCCAGGCGGTATCCGGGGTATCTTTATTTATCAAAATGAGATCAATGTCATTGTAGATATTTCCAAAAGATACAGGGAAGTTCTAGACCACAAAGAAGGGGTGGTTCTTTTCATTTTTCCAGGTGTTTGCAGGTATTTGAAACAACAAAATTAATGAAATAAACAAAATACTTATTTCTCTCTTCTCAGCGGCCGGAGAAGAGTGATGAACGCCTTGGATATTTTGAAGGCAGACAACGCAACGATGTCAAGGCAGTTCCATGTTTCTGGCTAACGACGTTGCTCCTAGCAACGGGACAAAAGACCGTCGATCTCCTCAGCCTTGACCTCAATAGCAAGGAGATGGCCTTGCTACAGACTATAGACTTCGACAGGATCAATGTCAAGTCAATCAGTTTGGAAATTCCGATATCCTATGAGGGGAAGTCTATTATAACCATCTTGGACTACATGAAATTAAAAGGATTCTCCGCAATGCATCAGTTTACAGATCACATTCACAAAACAAAAGACCTCGTTTTGAAAAAGACAAATTAGGTCAAGGTCATGGAGAGTTGGCTGAGTGTTTTGGGATATTACAAGCTAGAGTTCGACCTGCTGACATTATTGCTATTGGACTCCTTAACACACATATCTGTACTCAGATAATCATTTCACAAATATACAAAGTCGACTTTGTGACTTATACCGGTTCCAAATACTGAGTTGACGTCTTTCAATGGAAACATGAAGTTGAGAATGGTCATGACGTCACAGTGTCGATGGAGCCGAGTTGCAACGATTTTGGTCCTGCAGCTGTGTGATGCGACATCCTTGTTCAGGGCCTTTCCCAAATAGAGCTGTCGCTAGAACCTGGACATGTAACAGACTATTGAATAGGGAATCAGTAATCTTAAAGTTTACATTTATCCTTGTGCGGATAACCATGAACAGTGTCACCAGCCCTAGACATGGACATTCATCTATGCTGTATTTTTGGATGTTTTGATGTAGTTGACACTACAAGGATATTTCAGGGTATGAAATAACGGGCTGGGTGGATCTCAACGCTTGACAAGGATTGTTTTTTTATGCTCCGGGTATTTACAATGACAATCCAGTTGAAGTAGTCAATACTTGGATGTCACTGTGTGGACGCTGATAATGTTGTCTTCCATTGACAAACACGTACACACATTTACACCTCATATTCCTCATTGTCTGCAGTGTGCCGTGCACATCATAGGAAGGATAACGCACTGTATCAACATCTAGGTAACAGGTATCTATCTGTACGTCACGGCTTAGAGAGTGTTTGTCTCATATACACGTACTCGTATATCTCGTATATACCTGACAGTAACAGGGTGAGTGAGTGAGTGAGTATGGTTTTACGCCGCTTTTAGCAATATTCCAGCAATATCACGGCGGGAGCCATCAGATAGGGGATCGATCATTGAGGGAAGGGCCTGTTGTCACTAGAAAGGCGACAGTCATGTGTGTGTGTGTGTGTGTGTGTGTGTGTGTGTGCGTGTGCGTGTGTGTTCCAGCTATACAAAAATAGAGTTAAGACCAGACAATCCATTGATTGATATAATGAGCAACGGTCAACGCCGTCGAAGTACGTTGACGTACGCTCACGTCAACCCAGTCAGCCAGCTTCTTACACCGTGTACCAATGGACAATGGCAATGACACCCGTCTTTGGCGTGAAGAAGAACGAACGCCTCAACCACTAGGCTACCCCGTTGCCCCTTTTTCTCATGAATTGATCTCACTTGCGAGTGAAGGGAGTGAAGGGATGTTGTCTCAGAGTTTAATTAAGAATAACGTTTCGTGGATGATTAAGCCATTACTAACAGGAGTGATGTCTCAAGGAGACGCATGTACACGAGTGCTTGATTTATTGCTGTGTTGCGTTCATACATAATTAACACATCATTGTATCAGATCATACCATGTTTATTCCTTGCATACGCCATGAACATTAAACGTATCCTGTTCACATTTGTTTTACCTTGAATTATTTCAAAGTGAGTGAGTGAGTTTAATTTTACGCCGCTTTTTGGGGCTTCACACATTGTACCCATGTCGGGAATCGAACCCGGGTCTTCGGCGTGAAGTGATGAGCGAACGCTTTGACCACTAGGCTACCCGACCGCCCCGAATTATTTCAAAGACAGGCGTTTCTTGAGTGAATGTGTGAGCGAGTGGGCAAGGGAATGATAACCTACGGTTTGAGAAATGTTTCTTCACCATTGTGGAAGGCCGCTTCCGTTGTCCAGTGGATAGAGCGTCTGTCCGGAGAGCGGGAGTTCGGTGGTTCGATCCCCGGCCGCGTCATACCAAACGACGTTGAAATACGGTATTTGTTGTTACCCAGCCTGGCACTCGGCATTAAGGGGGATAAAACAAAGACTCGTCGGGTAGGAGAGGTGTATCCGTGTTAATTGCGGTAGGATGTCTCAGTGGGCTAGCACCATAAAACCGGCGTTAGTCCTGACTGGTACAAGCACTGATTGTGCGTTCGTTTGTTCTTTCACGCTGCAGTCAACAATGTTACAGCTACATCACGACGGCCAAAACATAATATAGTGTCTGGGCAAGACAAACCAATGACTGATATTGTGAGCAACGTCCCACGCTTTCAGGGTGTGCGTATTATCAGTGCTACCACCGAGCCTGACCACCAGACACACAATAGTCGCCCACAACGGAGCGCTGTGAACATATTCGATTCCGCCTCAATACTGAGTGAGTGACGTTTACCGCTTCGGTGAAACCCACGAGCACGGGTATGGTGCTGACAAACCTAGAAACATCATAGGGGCGAACCGGGATTCGAACCCACAATCATAGGTTTCTGGCGTGCCCAAGGAACGCAACTCTGCACAGCGAATCGCGACGCCTTAGACGACTGGGCCACCCGTGCCCCCCTCAATACTGAGCTTATGGTGAATCTCAAAGCAAAGTTAATAGGGAATCGAAACCTAGGATGCTTAAGGGGCACAGCACTGCACGGCGAGTTGTTGTGGTGTAGACCACATGGTAGTGTTTCAGTTCACTTCGTTACTCAATTCTGGATCCGCCTCTCAGTTATCAAGTGTTTAACTGTGCTTTTACACTATGCGGCAATGACACCAGGACGGGGTTCGTGTATGGGATTAAATCGGGGAATCTAGGTGTCAGACCTTTTTGGCACCGCCACCGTGGATTTAGTGGTAGAGCGACTGTCCGAAGAGCGGAATGTTGGGGGTTCGATCCCCGGGCGCGTCATACCAAACGACGTTAAAAGATGATACTTGTTACCCTGCCTGGCGCTCGACATTATGAGGCTGAAACAAAGACTGGTCGGCTCGGAGTCGGGGTCACTGTATCTAAGTGGGATATTCATGTTAAACTGCGGGATGGTATCTCAGTGAGCTAGCACTATAACCTCGGCTTTAGTTCGGACTAGTACAAGCAGCCACATACCAACACACACAGGTTCATGGACGTCGCTATATACGCGCAATAATCTTGAACGCGACGTTAAACCCCATTTCACCTCACCTCATCTCGGAGGTTTATGATGCACTAATGAACTGAAAATAACGACCCCCTAATGCTTTCATAGTTTTGGATGACCCTTAACAGGTCAATGTACGTTTTTTCACCTCCCTCCCTGAACAGACAAAATGCAAAAAGCCCTAAATATTTTATCATAATTTACTTTTTAATGACCCTCCCCAAATATGTATATTATTTTTTATGACCCTCCCCTAGTGATGGCCATATGTTTTGCTACTCCAAGAATAGGCTTCAAACAGTGTATCCACTCCAAGAATAGGCTTCAAACGGTGTATCCACTCCAAGAATAGGCTTCAAACGGTGTATCCACTCCAAGAATAGGTTTCAAACAGTGTTTCCATGTATCGAAACGAACCCGGATCGTCGACGTGAAAACCAACGCTTTAAGGGCTATCCTGCGGCGCGGCTCATGTGTGAGTGTGTGCGTGCGTGTGCGTGCGTGCGTGCGTGCGTGTGTGCGTGTGTGTGAGTGCGCGCGCTTCAGAATATATAAATGGTTCTTTGGAGTACGACTACAAGAGCCTGATCTCGCGATTTATTTAGTCGTCTCCTACTACCATCTTCGTTTGCTGTGCAACAATTATAACCAGGAATTTATCACCACATGGGACCTTGAACATTAAGGTGAGGTGAAATTGAGTTTAACGTCGCGTCCAAGATTATTGCACTTATATAGCGACGTGCATGCACGTGTATGTGTGTGTGTGGCTGCTTGTACTAGTCCGGACTGATGCCGATTTATAGTGCTAGCTCACTGAGATACCATGCCGCAGTTTAACATGAATACCCCACTCAGACACAGTATACTGACTCCGAGCCGACCAGTCCTTGTTTTAGCCCCTTAATGCCGAGCGCCAGACAGGGTAACAACAAGTACAATCTTTTAACGTCTTTTTGTATGACGCGGCCCGGGATCGAACCCTGGACCTTCCGCTCTCCGGGCGGACGCTCTACCACAAGACCACGGAGGCGGTCCTTGAACATTAAGGGCCGGCTATGAGAACTGACAATTATATGTGCAACGAAATATAGTCCACGCCAACGTCATCACTAGCAACATTTACTATTTTGGATAAATGTATCATGAAGTATATACTTATTAGTTTCATATTTCAAAAAGTACATTTAGATCAGGGGCGAAATGCGTTCAACCCATTCAAAATAACACTTTTGAATTAAAAAAAAGGTTCGAGCGTGCCAGGATTCGAACCTGGAATCTTCTGATCCGTAGTCAGACGCGTTATCCGTTGCGCCACACGCCCGCCTGACTCACGATGTGAAAATTAAGCTATAAGTACAACACTCCAACACTAAATCCGGTCATTACATCTATAGCGAAGGTTCATCATCTGTTGAGACAACCACCGAGAATTATTCGAATATATTGATGAGGAGTTGAACTAAATCGTAAATGATAAAATCCATAGCCAGCTACACTGCCAAGCAAGAGTTATCTCCCTTGCTTGGTTTCGCGCCAAATATAGCCATGTCAGTAAATAGCGCGTTTCTATATGATCATAATCACCACATAAAACAAGCATTCACAAAGAAACTAAAAATTGGAAATATATTTGTAAAATTATCCTTTATTATTACAAAGACATAAAGTCATAAATGTGATACAGTATACATAATTAATATTGGAGACACACAATCTGTCAACATCACATTTTTCAGTGAGCCACGGACGTACATATATATATACGTCTTTGAGTGAGCCTATATTGTCTAGTGTTCAAAGCAAAAAATCACAACAAATGCAACTTCTGGCCAGACGGACAAGTATGACTTTAAAAAATTGAAAATAGGTTCCCTTTCAATTTTTGGACTGTGAAACTTATCAGAGACCATAAAATATTTCATATTTAATATTTTATGGTCTCTGAACTGAAATAAATATAGATTCTAGATCTAGACCTATAGAGTTTATGTGGGCCAATACCATACCTAGCTCCCTACATTGACTATATGTGAACAATGTTGATACAAAAGACATTTTTTTAGAGTAATGAAAGACGCACATTACTGAGGGAGTCAAAACTAAAATTTCCAAATTGAAATATTGGCATCCAGGTAAATCCACCAGAAAAATATTTCATGGTATCATAGACCATAAACATAGATTATTTAGCATCCATGATGGTACACAGGGTATACTGCAGTATGTTAGCTACAGCATATCTGGAACAGGGCTTCCATTTATAAACCAGGATCAAATGTATATATCTGTGTAAAATATCTGCTTGATAACGACACAGATAACACATGATATACATGACATACACACACAGACAGGCTATATATTTATGTTCATGTAGAGGTCTAATTAATATGTCTATGCAGAAACATCGTCATAAGTGGACAAAATGATGGTAAAATGTCATTTGGTCTGAAAATACAAAACTATTGGCCAGCATGAAAATATCTATGACGGTTTTGTGATTAAAACAATAAAATTCCTGATATATCCCTGATTCCAGGCCAGTCTTGGAATTCCTGAATTGTCTTTAAAAAAGGACAAGGTGTCATAAGTGTCCTTTTAGGACAAAATTTAAGAAACGATCACAACTTGCAGATATTATTATGAATTATTAATAAAATATGTTCATATGAATGAGAATTTGACTTTTTCTCTCACCAGAGTGCTGTCTATGTTAAACATATTGTGACATAGCAATGGCCACCTTCACTGAACATCTGGGCATACACCTAGACAACAGAGCCAATCTCAATACCTTAGGTCCTGTCACTCAGTGTGATAAATAATGAAATTAATACAAAAATCTAAAAAGAGATTGAATATTAATTCATCCTTAAATAATAAGTAGAAATATAGTTAGGAACAAACAATTCAGTCCATAGATATTGTTCTAAAACAAAATAATTTGTCCCAGAAGAAGTTAAAAGTGGTGTCATAAACAGAAACTGACATAGTAATTTGTTGTAAATTTGAGGGACTTATTTTTTCAATCAAGCATAGTATTTTTTTTTATCTCATAAGGTTTTTACAGTTCAATGTCAGGACAGCTACTAACCATGAAATAAAATCTGTTCTTTCACTGTTCTTTTCAGCTCAAGCAAGGTGGCCAACAGTTATTAAACACTACAAAACAATACATGATGTCCCATTTCCCCTATTGAGGAAACAGTACACATTAATTCAATCAAAATGTAAATATTGAAAAAATGTTTCATGTGAAAAAATGTCAATATAAGATATATTCGACAGATGACAGAATGAATCAACACAATCACCAGATATACACCAGGATATATAGAAGCAATAGACAACTGCCATTCATTCACAAATTCAGCAGTATTAAACAGGCAGACAAACACATCAAACACTGTACTAACACTAGTGCTCAAGACACACAAGACACAGAGTTGATAGGAAATTAGGGATATTCTGAAACATCTTATATTTCAGCATGTAATAGGAGTTCGTGATCTGCACAAAATTCAGGATGGTGAAACTGTACTGAGTGAGTAAGTTGGGTTTAACGCTGCTTTTAACAATATTCCAGTCGTATCGTGGCCTGTCAGCTCAATGATGGAGGAAAACCACAAGTGATGCAGGTCTCAGACGTTTAACACTTCAGTGAAACCTACGAGCACAGGCATGGTGCTGACAAACCTAGAAACATAATCGGGGCGAACCGGGATTAGATCCCACAATCATAGGTGTCTGGCGAGCCAAAGGAACACAACTCTGCACAGACAACTGGGCCACCAGTGCCCCCGAAACTATACTGAAGCTCATAATATAAGGAACAGCAACCTTATCTTTATAAGGGATATTGATACAGTATTTTACGTATTTTAAGAAAAAAGTCTTTAGTCTACAAAAGTGGGTTCAAAAATCATTTAGAGTACCCCTGCAAAATGTTTCAGTTGTTCAGAAACATTTACTTGATTTGATGAGCATTAACGTACATGATTAAATATTTTAATTATTTGCCCTAAGTTTAATCTATTTAAAGCTTGAGATATCTTTAACTTACCTTGTTAAAACAGCTCAATAAATACAACATAAAGAAGGTCAATACTACATTGAGACTCAGCCAGTTTGAACCAATATTTCACTTGCCCATTAAAAATGTTACTGGTCACGGGCTTGGGTACTGAGTTATGTCCAACACTGTCTGGCTTTCCTGTTCCTGCTTGTTATCACATTATGGCTTAGTGTTGATTCAAACAACAGAGAAAGGTTTGCACAATTATCAGACATTTACAGGGAAACACAGGTAGAAACATTAGGTGAATAAAATAGGTTTTTAATAAAATATCATCAGGAAGTTAAAAATATTTTGGCATAAAAATGTCCAGTGAGCAACAGTGAAACAGGAATGTATAGACTTCCCAGAAACAGCAACAGACTGGGAAATGTGCAAGTTGTACAAATACAGGACGCTGGCTGAGATGGTTCTACCTTGGTGCCCATGCTACTAACATGACACCGATAGCTATGCTGGTAGTACCTGATTATCAAGGTACCCATACTGTGAGTACCTGACTTGAAAACCCAAGCTAATACTCGTACCTGACCTGGGTACCCATGCTGCTACTAGTACCTGACCTGACCCAGGTACCCATGCTGCTACTAGTACCTGACCTGACCCCGGTACCCATGCTGCTACTAGTACCTGACCTGACCTGGGTACCCATGCTGCTACTAGTACCTGACCTGACCTGGGGACCTATGCTGCTACTAGTACCTGACCTGACCTGGGTACCCATGCTGCTACTAGTACCTGACCTGACCTGGGTACCCATGCTGCTACTAGTACCTGACCTGACCCGGGTACCCATGCTGCTACAAGTACCTGACCTGACCATGGTACCCATGCTGCTACAAGAACCTGACCTGACCTGGGTACCCATGCTGCTACAAGTACCTGACCTAACCTGGGTACCCATGCTGCTACTAGTACCTGACCTGACCTGGGTACCCATGCTGCTACTAGTACCTGACCTGACCCGGGTACCCATGCTGCTACTAGTACCTGACCTAACCTGGGTACCCATGCTGCTACAAGAACCTGACCTGACCTGGGTACCCATGCTGCTACAAGTACCTGACCTGACCTGGGTACCCATGTTGCTACTAGTACCTGACCCGGGTACCCATGCTGCTACTAGTATCGGACCTGACCCGGTGACCCTTGTTGCTACAAGTACCTGACCTGACCTGGGTACCCATGCTACTACTAGTATCGGACCTGACCTGGGTACCCATGCTGCTACTAGTACCTGACCTGACCCAGGTACCCATGCTGCTACTAGTACCTGACCTGACCTGGGTACCCATGTTGCTACTAGTACCTGACCTGACCTGGGTACCCATGCTGCTACTAGTACCTGACCTGACCTGGGTACCCATGCTGCTACTAGTACCTCACCTAACCTGGGTACCCATGTTGCTACTAGTACCTGACCTAACCTGGGTACCCATGCTGCTACAAGAACCTGACCTGACCTGGGTACCCATGTTGCTACTAGTACCTGACCTGACCCGGGTACCCATGCTGCTACTAGTACCTGACCTGACCTGGGTACCCATGCTGCTACTAGTACCTGACCTAACCTGGGTACCCATGTTGCTACTAGTACCTGACCTGACCCGGGTACCCATGCTGCTACAAGAACCTGACCTGACCCGGGTACCCATGCTGCTACAAGTACCTGACCTGACCTGGGTACCCATGTTGCTACTAGTACCTGACCTGACCCGGGTACCAATGCTGCTACTAGTACCTGACCTGACCCATGCTGCTACTAGTACCTGACCTGACCTGGGTAGCCATGTTGCTACTAGTACCTGACCTGACCCGGGTACCAATGCTGCTACTAGTACCTGACTTGACCCGGGTACCCATGCTGCTACTAGTACCTGACCTGACCTGGGTACCCATGTTGCTACTAGTACCTGACCTGACCCGGGTACCCATGCTGCTATAAGTACCTGACCCGGGTACCCATGCTGCTACTAGTACCTGACCTGACCCGGGTACCTATGCTGCTATAAGTACCTGACCCGGGTACCCATGCTGCTATAAGTACCTGACCTGGGTACCCATGCTGCTACTAGTTCCTGACCTGACCTGGGTACCTATGCTGCTACTAGTATCTGACCTGACCCGGGTACTCATGCTGCTACTAGTACCTGACCTGACCTGGGTACCTATGCTGCTACTAGTATCTGACCTGATACGGGTACCCATGCTGCTGCTAGTATCTGACCTGAAGTGGGTACCCAAGCTTCTACTATTATTAGACCTGACCCGGGTACCCATACTACAATACAGTACTCACCCAACCAGTGTCCATGTTTCAGTTGCCATTATGCCACACAGTTTATCACACATTCATTGCAACAGATCAGGGAACCCTGGGTCATGGGTAATCCAGGTAACACATTTTGCCGACCCACCCTGGTACAAGGAAGACCCACCCTGCTACAAGGAAGACCCATCCCGCTACAAGGAAGACCCACCCTGCTACAAGGAAGACCCATCCCGCTACAAGGAAGAACCACCCTGCTACAAGGAAGAACCATCCAGCCTCAACATTATCAACATACGTACATACATCACATTGTATAGAAGAATTTGCAGAAAGCCAACAGCTCATAACATACAATCACTGTTTACAATCATTCCATTAGCCGAGGATAAAACATCTCAATCTGTGACAGCATCCTCTACATCTACAGCTACAATAAAAGCAGCCAATAACAATCTCATTAAACATCTTGTAACTGAACTATCACAACTTCAACTTGACAGAATAACTGCATAAAATAGTAGACAATAATTATCTAAACTGGCCACAGAAGCTAAGCGCACCAACTTTTAAAAAGTATTATGATAATTATCATTATTTTATTCTCACTGCCATGCATAATGAAGCATCTGATGCAACTCACATATCACACAGCATTCACAGTATAAATGAATATCAAAACTGGGTATAATACCATGATATAAAATTCAAACAACAAACATGTATTCTACTACATGGTGCATTATTAATCATAACATTTTTTGACAAATATCTCACTTGAACAGTCAGCTGAGGTCTAAGCAAATGTTCACAGATTGAACTCATCTCACTGCAGACCTCACAGGCTTGTCAGTTGTCTCCCCTGTTTATCACAGGTCAGAGTGACATTCAAGATGCATGCATTGTCTGACATCATAAACCTCCAGTGACGTCATCCTATTGTTCTCCAGTCAGGTTACATCTCATAAACAGGGATGTGATAATATACCAGAGACTTAATACAATATCCGAAGGGTTTTATATAATATCAGATGGGCTGATTTTATTAATACAACTTCCGTTTAGATTGTAACATATGAATGTTTCTCCCTAGGAATAGATTTTGCATTTTAACAGAATGTAATGAAATGTAAAATGAAATGCCAAATGTTTTCTTTATATTCCCTAGGATCGAACACAACCAAGCGGCTGATAAATGCTTTTAAGAATGTCTTTTTCAAGTGCCATACGCCAGCAACATATATTTTACGCCCGTTTCCTTAGGTTGCTGGAAAGTATGTTGAAACATAAAAATGTTGATAAATGTTGTTTTAAGTTTTGTTTTTTTTGTTTATAAGTTAGATAAAACACTTCCCCTTGGGTCTCTTATGACATTTAAGACTCTTTTCTTTGAAATAAAACCTTGGTGCTGATGCCCTTCGATTTTATCCCATGGATGCGGGCTTTAAATATCATAACAATCCTCGAACATGCTTCATCCTACACTCAAGGCAGGTCCTAGGATCATCAGTATTTTCTGCTTCATATTTTAAATCTAAGGAAGTTTTCAAAATTTGGGCTTTGAGCAGAACCCCTTGAAGCTGATCCTTAATTTCAAACACTGCATGTATACATGAAACATTTTCATCAGTGATTTATCAAGGCTCAGGGCAAACTAAGACCAAATTGTTTCAAATTTCACAATGATTTATTCAACTCAAATAGCGAATTATTTAAATTGGATTTAAAAAATATAAATAAAAAATATTTTATTTAGTTTTGTGAAATGTACTGAATTTTTATTTTTCATGAAAATTACTCAAATACTTAAAATGAAATCTAGTCCCTAGAAAAATCTCCATACATTCTAAATGGGCTAAATTAAACTTAAACATTCCAGATTTTGACATGATTGAGATGAACAGACCAATGTCCGTGTCTATCAGTGTTCTAGTCAATTCCAATCTCCAACAAGATGCCTCTCTGATGAAGAGGAAGATCTGACAAATCCCCTATGGTGAGCATTATCAGGTGAACTCTCAAATCACCATACCCGATTTCTGTATCTAAGAAACAAACATAAACAGGCAGTTCCGAATGGAAAATATAAAGGCTGCACTTAAATATTGCAAGGGAAATTTTCTAACCCTTTTATTTCTAAGCTTCATTAATGTCTACACCCAATAGAGGGTACTACATAGGGAATACTTATGTAATGCATGGGTTTTCTAATAGGAACATTTGAATCAAGGTAGTAAAGAAATGATGATGAATCATTTTAGAAAGCTGCCATCTGATTGGCTTGAGAACCCATGCATTCTTCATTAAGATTGGATAAAGGTTGCTGACATGATCAGTGGAGGGGTTGCCAAATATTCACACACATCGGAGTAACAGATCAGAATTTTAATGAGTTTGAGGAAATTTCCACTTCTTTGGTCTGCTTGCGCTTCTAAGCACACATGTACAAATGACAGAATGGAAAATTAATACAATTACCGTATTCGACGTAATAAGCGCCCCGCTCTAATAAGCGCCCACCACGATATTTGCTAATATATTGGCTAGTGAACAATCCCAATCAGCACCCATTCCGATTGATCAATGTACGCAAGACTTATTTATTCGTGTATAATACGCACTCGTGTGTTATATGCATCCTTAATTATGGGCAATTAAATCCTAGAAAAATATATCAGTCGTATATGAATATTTCGGGCTGTCAGCATAAACCATGAAATTTACTATCTTTCAACTCTGTTTTTTTTCACCAAAATAATATTCTAATAAGAGCCCCCTATTTCTAATTCTGAGAGCGCCCTGGGAGCTTATTACGTCGAATACGGTATACATTTTATAGGAAATAGCCTACACATGCAAACTGTAAATTGTTTGAAGTCATTCAAATCTTCCAAAGATAGTCACCGGTGGAGAGAGTTGTTTTGATTTGGCTGCCGGATATAGATTGTGCTGATCTCATGATACTCTAAGTGCACTTGACGTCATAAAATCTGATGGTATATGGATGTAAGTATCACAATAAGTGTCCAAAGTGTCATGTCTCAAGTGGAAGGCACAAGATGATCACTCGACCACCACATGTTGTTATGTGGCAGTAGAGGCTGCTGTATATATATTTGTAGTGATCGTCAGTGGCAGCAACTGATTGAAGTGCTCGTAAAATGTTATTGAAGTGCTCGTAAAATGTCGTGGCAATGAATAGTCTGCCCCTTGTTGTTTTCGAACACAGGACGCGTCATCGTTTGAGAAGATTCAGGAGGAGACAGTTTCTAGAAGGCTGGCTGTTTCTTTATAACAGTGACACTAGGGCGACTCGAGGCCTTTTTCGACTTACGACTCATGTACATGCCCAGTGAGGTCTGGGTACCTATTTGTGAACACCGAATTCCTGCCAGCTTCGAACACGATTCTGGATTCAGAACGGATTCAGAATGGATTCAGAATGGAGACAGGCCTCTTTCAAGACATTCAACAGTGACAAAATTCTGGATATTCGTGAGTGCACTTTCATTAATTGTAGGGTCTGGTTGTTATTGCTGCTGTCACTTATTTCACCAAGTGTATTGCCTTTTGCAATATTTGCCTCGTAACAAATATGTAATACTTGCCTGTTACCATAACCCCAGTGTCTAGACGATGGGATGGGCAGAGTGGGATGGGCAGAGTGGGAGGTGCAGTGGTGATGGTGGGTGCATGGCTTGACATTCACAGTACTATGCCTCTTCCAGGACAAATCAATGATATCCTTACGACAGAAATGGAGCCTAATACTAAGGGATGTAACTTATTACATTAGGGGTGGGGGATGGGGAGTGGGCGGGGAAATGGGTTGGGGCGGGGAAATGGGTTGGGACAGGGGATGGGAAGGGGGGGGGGGGGGGAATGTGTGTGTGTGTAGGATTTGGGGTTGGGGGGTTGGGGGGTTGGGGGGGGGGGTATGAACATAGGACAACTGAAGGGGGCTGCCAAATTTTTTATCAACAATATTGGGTAGTGGGGAAAAAATGTTACCTAAAATAGGGTCGGGGGGTCAGAAAACATAGCTAACACAATAAAGAGCCATTCATTCCCATGGCAGGAATGAGGCATAGCGTAAGTGCAGAATTTGAACGCATCTGTGAACTAACAGAAGACTACACTGAAACAAGCTGTAATAGATATAAATATTCTGTAATGGAAAAAAGATCAAAGTACTACAAACGTGGAAAAAAATAACCCTTTGAACTGTGATAATGATACTCTACAAAAAAACTGATTCCGAGAAAAAAATATTTTTTTAATCTATTTCTTTTAGCCAAACAGTTTGGAAAACTTTGCTTACACCAAGTAATTGAAAACAAATGGCCTAAACGTGTCTAAGAGGTCTATTTGTCACTGTGGAATTACACAAAGTATTATACATGTCATATGCACCGTGGTAATTATGGTCAATGGTTAAAAACATATCTAATAATAATCATCATAAGTAAATTAGGTGATAATAATTACCAGCTTCCTTTATCTTGGACAAATATCAACATAAAATGTTAAATAAATATTTCTTCTTCCAGGATATTGTAAAATATAATTGATATATATATATATATATATATATTTCACTAAAAGTAACATAGATGAATTATCTCGTTGGGTAGTATAAACTTACGACATCAAAACACAACAATACATTTGAGATCAGTAAATTATTCACATTTTGATAAAAGCAAATACATGTCATCAAAGTCAGGAACCTTATTTGTCAACACGTACTCCTGATGTAAAAAGTCCCCTTCACTTGGATTTGCATTAAATAGGTGTACGAAAAAAATATTATTTTCTGAAAAATTTATACAGTGGTGTATGAATAAAGCTGAAAGTGAGACAATACTAATATGTTTTTTGTCCAGGGTTGTATTTGGCATAGTATTTATGGTGACAAAACCACTCTTCTCAACACGATGGTGTATGGATGAACTTATCATGTTGATAAGAAACATACAAAGTACTGTTGTTTGTGTGGAAATATTTGACTAATTATGTATGCAAATTCATGAAAATGTAAAATATATGTAGGACAGAGATCTGAAGCAGGACTCTAATCCGTGGCAGGTTCTCAGATCCATGGCAGATCCTAATTGTAACATGACGTCATGTTTGCAGTGATGTTTCATTTAAGTACGTGCCAATATCTGCCCTATTTGTGGAATCGGCCATAGATCTGAGAATCCGTCACAGATCAGAGTCCTACCATGGATCTGAGTCCTACATATATATTTCAGAAAAGAAGTTAAGCACCACCTCGACCATTCATATTACTATAGTTCATCTGTCATGGCAGACATGGCAGACATGACAGACATGGCAGACTTGACAGATGAACTACAGGAATATGAAACAATCAATGAAAGAATGGCATGACAGATTAACTACATTTGTGAAAGAATTGGGTGGTGCTTAACTTCTCTTGCGTAGTATATTACAGGGTAAAGGCTGAGTTTTACGGCCAAAATCGGGGGATGGAAATTAGCACTTGCCCGTTAGCCCGGACTGGCTTTGCTGGTGTTAATGGTGTCCAGGTTTGTAGAATTTCAAACATTTGGGGTATTTTGCCATATGGTATCACTGTTCTGGTTCTTGGTTAATTTTCATCACTGTAAAATCCAAGTCATAGAATAGGAGGTTGACCAACACCCTAGATGTACATTGTTTGAAAGTATTTTGCAGGACAACGGTCAAGGAGGTTGACCAACACCCTAGATGAACATTGTTTGAAAGTATTTTGCAGGCCAACAGTCAAGGAGGTTGACCAACACCCTAGATGAACATTGTTTGAAAGTATTTTGCAGGACAACGGTTAACAATATATGTTAACAGTTTGACCTAGATCAGCCAATACCCGTTGACATACAGTATGCAAATCATTTTCAGTGTTTGCTGACGAATGCTGTGACAATGTTTATAGAATCAATATACCTGACATAACTAAATGGTCAGGTTCAAACATCACGTAAATGATTACTGTATTCGACGTAATAAGCGCCCGCCTCTAATAAGCGCCCAAGGTGACATTTGCTAAGATATTGGCTACTGAACAATCCCAATTAGCACCCCTTTCGATTGATCAATGTACACAAGACTTATTTATTCGCGAATAATACGCACTCATGTGTTATATGCACCCTTAATTATGGGCAATTAAATTATGGAAAAATATATCTGTCGTACATAAATATTTCAGCATAAATAACGATATTTATCTTTCAACTCAGTTTTTTTCACCCAAATAATATTCTAATAAGAGCCCCCTATTTCTAATTTTGAAAGCGCCCTGGGCGCTTATTACGTCGAATACGGTATGTACATTTCTAAACTCTAAATCATACAAAGATATAAAAAAATATAACTGAACTTTGGTAACAGGCAAATTTGACTTACTTTCATGCTAATTGTCAGTATCTACATCATGTGAAAGATTATGTACTTTTCTAACTCTAAATAATACAAAGTTAAAAAAATAACTGAACTTTGGTAACAGGGAAATTCGACTTACTTTCATGCTAATTGTCAGGTATCTACATCACGAAAAAGATTATGTACTTTTCGAAACCATAAACAATTTGGCTCCCTGTAAATATGTCTTGTATTATTATCAGGGGTCAAAAACAACAATTGTTGTCAATGATATACTGACAGACTGAATACCAACTCCATTTCCTGAGGGAAGGACCATTTAATATGTAGGGGGAGGGGTGCAGGGAAGCTGTCAGAAACAGAATATATCTTTAGATGGGCATTGTCTCAAGACAATTATTCTTTTCTCACATAACATTTTTCCAGGACAGTATTTTCTTAAGTATAACTTGAGTCAAAATTCAATTTTACCAGTATGTTCAGGAACAAAAAAATCCCAGGCCCACCCCTACACCCCCGAATATAAAATGGTTGGTCTCTAACAGTAGCAGGTTAAATATCTAAAACAAACACTTTACTTCATTTAAGATGAGAAGGGCTGTGTTTTCATGTGTCAGTCAGATTAATTAACTCATCATGCTGCTCTAATTATCCTAAATAGAGAATCTAAGAGTGACACAAACATTGATGTTTGTATGCACACCTAACAATAGCACCATTGTTGTGTTGACTTACCACTAACTACATCATTAGTTCATATATTGGTATGTACAGCTAGAGTTATTCATTAGTGAAAGGAACACTAACATTCTTAATGTTTTGTTTTTTACCAAGGCGCCATTTGAATTTTGTTTTAAAATTGATTATCAGTTTTCTGTTATGCTGTTGCCTCCTGCATCTTGGCACAAGGGTTTAGAAAAAACTCAAACAAGTACCGTAATCGACATATTAAGTGCCCTGTCACCTTCTTCTTGAAGAGTACACGTTATAAGCGTTCTGGACACAGTTAGGACGGTCACATACCGAATATCTTGAAATTAATGCAAGTGGTCTTTGTTGGCATTAAAGAAACACTTATGTCTCCAAAATGACTATCAACAATAAGACTGCACACTTTAGATTGCGGAAATACCAACTTGAAAATAAACACAAACAGGGTTTATTGAGCAGCAGTTGTAACAAGTATATAACAATATCATTCAAAGAATAGGAATTACACAATAGACATCTGGTGAGTTATCACTGCTGGGGTCAAGAGTTCTACCCACTTGTGTCAAACTAGGTACCACTGACCACCCAATCAGCGAACTGCTGTTGGTTCAATTATTTTATTCCCTTTGAACTTCCAATCAACAGAATTTGTTGTTAGGAAAACACTGTTTATTGTTATTACGGAAGTGCTTTACTCAGTGCTAATAAGTGCTATTTTCTGTTTGATTGGATTAAGGTAAGGATATGTATCTTCCACTGGTGTCAAACTAGGCACCATTGACCACTCCAATCAGTGAACTGCTGTTGGTTCAATTATTTTATTGCCTTTGAACTTGTTGTTAGGAAAACACTGTTTATTGTTATTACGGAAGTGCTTTACTCAGTGCTAATTAGTGCTATTTGCTGTTTGATTAGATTAAGGTAAGGATGTGTATCATTCCACTGGGGATGGGGTTGGGGGAGTGGCATTGATTTTGAGTCACATTTTTGGCGAGGGGTCGGCAGTGGTATTAATTTGGAGACGCATTTATTTCAAGATTTACAGTAATCGTTCCATTATTATTCTATTGGAAGATGACATGATAGGGCACATTTTCTTGTGTGTTACACACATTATTACACCTGTGTACAAGGGAGGATATGGTACACTCGGAACTTGAGTTCCAACATTTATACCACGACAAGAATATTACCATAATGTGTAAACACTAGATGTCAGAAGTTTATAGATTCATTGACATTTGAACCTATTCTCTATCCCTCACTTGATGTAAGAAAAAAAAGAACCTATTGTTTAAATAAGCACACCCCTTTCTTAATCTTCTAAGCACCCAGGGCACTTAATATAATATATGTGTTTCATAAAACTGGCCTGATCTTATAGCAAGGAAAGTTCTACTGATCAAAATCCCTGGGCAGTTTGAAATGACATAGTTGGAATTTCAGTACTAGATACAAATAGTTGTGTCAAACTCTTCCATTCATTTAAATGACCATTAAAAATAGGAGTACTAAAATATCTGAATAAAAGTTTTGAAGTTCAGCATGTTCAACATAAAATACATAAAATAAACTATTACATAAAATGATAATCATGATTATGTCTGACATTTTTTGTCATCACTGACAAAACAAAACGCAACAAAATCTATAATATTGATTTTTCTTTAAAAGCGAAAACCTCAGTGCAAACTATAAACATATTCATAAACACAAATTTATGTATACATATATTTGATTTTTCAGCAATAAACAACTGAAATAAACATGATAAACGAAAACTTGAGCAGCAAGTATCAAGCCGCGGCAAGAGGAAAGAATTGACATCAAATGCAGAGATTGAGTGAGGATTCTTACAAAATTTCAAACCCAACCCCAAAACTCTGCAAAGATGACTAATCTAAAAATATATTTTCACAAAATAATTCTAGTTTGTGTCATGCGTAATGATAAGTTGAATCACAAAATTTGATCATGATCTGCAATTCTACCTGTACCCCAAACACTTCTTCACTCATGAAAGTTTACTTGAGTTTCCCCATTTTTCGATGAAGCATCTGCAGGTTCTCATTGATGGATGGGTCCTGAGGTGCTAGGCTCTGGGCCTGGATGTACGCCGCCTCGGCCGGCTCGTTCTTCCCCCACCGATGATATAACACACCTGCAATCCAAATGGAGGTCGCGTGTAACATTAGAGAAGACGTAACTATGAACATCCTTAGAATATTTTAAATTTTGGTATTGTCAAACAGGCTTCATACAGAATTTCAGTCACCAAATAGAGGCCTTTTTAGGGCTCACTCGTTCTTCTCCTACCGATGATATAACACACCTGTATATAGAGGTAGTGTGTAACATTAGGGAAGACATGTCATAATTTCGGAATACTCACCAAAATAATGCCTTTTTAAGGCTCCATAACCAAATAACGCCTTTTTAAGGCTCCGTAACCAAATCAGCCTTTTAAGGCTCTCTCACCAAATAAGGCCTTTTTAAGGCTCCCTCTCCAAAAAGGGTCTTTTCCAGGCTCCCTCACCAAATAAGGTCTTTTCCAGGCTCCCTCACCAAATAATACCTTTTTAAGGCTCCCTCACCAAATAATACCTTTTTAAGGCTCCCTCACCAAATAATACCTTTTAGTGAGCGAGTGAGTGAGTTTGGTTTTACGCCGCTTTTAGCAATATTCCAGCAATATCATGGCGGGTGACATTAGAAATGGGCTTCACACATTGTACCCATGTCAGGATTCGAACCCGGGTCTTCGGCGTGACGAGCAAACACTTTAACCACTAGGCTACCCGACCGCCCCAATACCTTTTTAAGGCTCCCTCACCTAATAAGGCCTTTTTAAGGCTCCCTCACCAAATAAGGACTTTTTAAGGCTCCCTCACCAAATAAGGACTTCTAAAGGCTCCTAACCAAAATCCAAGGCAATCCAAACTAAATATTAAATACATTTCCTTTCAGTCCGCCACAAATTTGAGTGCATTAGACTGTTAGTGGAAGGGAGATAACTCTAGTTACAGGCAATAAATACATCAAATCCTTTTTGTTTTCTTTAAAGTTTTCGACAGATTTCAATAAAGTTTTAACAAACAATAAAGTGCTTATTTTTATTTAGGTGGGGTTCGACTACACTCAATCAACTAAGTCACTGAGTCAGATAACCAAGGCAAGGGAGTTAACTGACTGTAAAAGTCTAGTTTCCACCCTTGCCGGACTTGGCTGGAATTTCTGTTCTCAATCATGGCGCCACCAGTGGCTATCATGAGTTATGACACTTCTGAGCCTCTCCTATTGACCAATCAGATTCCAACTCTCATATCACTTGCTTTAAAGAAAATGGCGGTGCCCAGTCAAGACGATCATATCGATTATCAAAATCTATATTGTTATAAAACGGGTAATTAAATCACATGAGCACCTTGATTAAAAACATGAAAAGATTTGGAAATATCTGTTGATGCTGAGTTGGCAGGACACATGTTTTGCAAATCCTGCAATTGACCAAAATATGCACAGCATTTTACAAACCGGATACGCGATTTTCATTTGACTATGCATAGACTTGTTTATCCAGCCAAAATATATCTAAAAATTCCAGTCTAGTTTGGCAAGGGTCGAAACTGGACTTTCCTTGTCAGTTAACTCCCTTGCCTAGGGAGGATGGAACCAACATGAATGAAGGAACATTACTCAATAACCGTGACTGCTGAATCTGGACAAGTTATTTGCATGGAAGACTTCACTGAGATCAGTATAAAATTCAGTTCCCAGGATACAGCAAAATTTGAATGTTGTTTTCTAATTCAGATCTCGTCTTGACTTTGATTGTGTAGGATCCAGATGACGATATCCGAACTAGAGGAATCAATAACACCTACCTAGATTCAGGTAGAACTTGGCGTTGTGTTTGTCGATCTTGATGGCGGCGAGGAAGAGTTCCTCACTCTCCCGGTACTTCTCCATCTTGCCGTAGATGTTGGCCATGTTGAACATCAGCTGGGGCTCGTTCTTCATCACCTTCATCGCTTCCTTGCCAACAACAATGGCGTTCTCATACTTGCCTGCAAGCAAGGGAAACAAACATGGCACACTCTCAGTGGAAGAAATTGTCTTTTTGTCAAGACAAGTCCAAACGACTAGGGTAAACCTTATTTCGTTTGTCCTCAGAGTTTGTGGTTAGTCTTGCTTAAATGAGACAAAAATGATGACTTTGTTTATATTTTCTGAAAGATTTTTTGCAGTTTGAGTTTGTAGCAATATTGAAGCATTGAGACCAGGGCCCACTTGCACAAAGCGATCTTAGCGCTAAGATGATCGTAACTCCCATACTTTAACATAGGCTTACAATAGTCATAGCGCTAAGATCACTTTGTGCAAGTGGGCCCTGGGCCCCGTTCCACAAAGTGATCTTAGCTCTTAGTTGATCGTAACTCCCATTCTTTAACACTGACTTATGACAATCGTAGTGCTAAAATCGCTTTGTGGACTGGGGCCCTGGTTCAGAATCATAGCCCTTAAATGCTCCTAGTCAATGGGGGATAACATCATTGGATTTTTACGTCCTCGGCAAAACTTGTTGGACTATTGTGAACTTACAAGTCTGTAAGGTGGTCACAGGAGCCTGTCCATGTTATCATAAGGGTGGAAAGGATGGGATTTTAACAACCCTTTGGCTAAATTTATGAAGGAAATATTTGACACAATGGTTTAATAATGGTGAGTGTGAGTGAGTTTGGTGTAATGGCGCTTTGAACAGTATTCCAGTTATATCACGGCGTGTCAGCCTACTGTGGGAGGAAAGCCCGAAGTGATGCAGGTCTCAGATGTTTACAGTTTTGGTGAAACCTGCGAGCATGGTATTCAGGATTCGAGCCCACAATCATAGGTTTCTAGGGTGCCCAAGGGACACAACTCTGCACAGAGAATTGTGGTGCCTTAGACATACAAAGCTAACATCATTTCTGATTCATCATGTGGGTTAACCTCTTCCTGGGTAACTGGGCGACTGATGGGGGAATGAGGTAAGTACGACTTACCCAGACTGTCCAGCACGAATTACCCAGACTGACCAGTACGACTTACCTAGACTGACCAGCACGACCTACCCAGACTGTCCAGCACGACCTACCCAGACTGTCCAGCACGACTTACCCAGACTGTCCAGCACGACTTACCCAGACTGACCAGCACGACTTACCAAGGCTGACCAGCACGACCTACTGTCTAGCACGACTTACCCAAATTGACAAGCACGACTTACCCAGACTGTCCAGCAGGATGAGGGTGTTGGTCCAGGTCCTAGTCTGTCCAGCACGACTTACCCAGACTGACCAGCACGACTTACCAAGGCTGACCAGCACGACCAACTGTCCAGCACGACTTACCCAGACTGACCAGCACGACCTACTGTCTAGCACGACTTACCCAGACTGTCCAGCACGACCAACTGTCTAGCACGACTTACCCAGACTGTCCAGCACGACCTACTGTCTAGCATGACTTACCCAGACTGTCCAGCAGGATGAGGGTGTTGGTCCAGGCATTCATGTGGGTGGGGCGCAGCTGGGTGGCGTTCAACCATGCCCGGATGGCATCAGTGTGGCGCCCCATGTCCAGGTACTAGAAACAATGGCATGCTGTTTACAGGGAGTGCAGGAGCACACTTATCATACACAACGCCTTAAATCATGTTGTTGAGAAAGAAGACACTTCTAGTTCTTAGAATGAACTTAAAGACCAGGGTCTCATTGTGACCTTAGCAGTACGACTGCCATACATCTGAAGACATGAAACGTTTTACAGGCAAAAATGAAAAAAAAATTCCGTACAAACTTTGGAAAATGAGGAAGCTTCAAGAAATGATCGAAATCCTGAGAAACAAGTCAAGCATTAAAAGAGACTATGCTATAACGAATCATAACCCACGAACAGACATGCTCATTGTCTTACCGTTATATCATTACCCTGTCGCTGTATCATACGGATGCCAAATAGAATGGATATATATAACAATATGTGGTCTTTAAGGATGCTAGAAAGGCTATCAATATCATTAAAATCAGATCTTAGTTCTCGCTACCGCTAAACAAAGACCTGTAGACATCCCATTAGGGATCACGTCAGAACGACCTTTCATCCGACCAATCAGAGCGTCGCTTACCAGATCATGAAAGTGACAGTCGGAATGTGATTTCTAATCATGCAGCCTCGAAAACGTTAAAACAGGGTATTCCGAACGATAGTTATGGGCTTAACGACTGAATCTATACAATCTAGACCGTATATTAGCCATTCTAGGTTTCAAATTTTTAAGCAAGAATTTGTCAAAATATGTTTTGAGGCGTAGTCGCCAATTTGAAATTAGTGCTGTAAAGCACAAGAAAGCTGCCTTCTGTTTAGCTAATGTCGACTTCTTGTCAGTAATTCCATTGGTCGGTCAGAGTTTGCGAAAGGTCGGTCTGACGTAACCCGTAATGGTATGTCCTCAGATCTTTGTTTAGCGGCAGCGAGAACTAAAATCTGATTTTAATGAGATTGGTTTGCTATTTGACCACTGTCCAGCCCTGGTAGCCATTGACTCACCAGGTTGCCCAGGTTGTAGTAGCAGTCGGGGTACTTCCGCCGGTGTCGGATGGCTTCCAGGTAGCTGGCCTCTGCCGACTCGTTCTTCTTCAGTTCAGCCTGCACAATACCAAGGTTCATCCACGCTGCTGCAAATTCGGCCCTGTAGAGTCAGGAGGGAGTCGGTGAGTGTTGGTTTTAGGGCTGCTATTTCAGTCATGTTCGGGCATTACAGCTTAATGTAGAAAGTAACAGTCTTGCAGGTACGAGGCTTTTATCACCTTTGGGTTCAGGCGAAATTGGGTTAAACATCGTGTTCAAGAGTAATTGTTTCTTACACCGCGATGTTGCATGCACACGTATGTGTATATATGTCCGTGTGTGAGGTGAGGTGAGGTGAGGTGAAATTGGGTTTAAACGTCGCGTCCAAGATTATTGCACTTATATAGCGACGTGCATGCACGTGTGTGTGTGTGTGTGTGGCTGCTTGTACTAGAACGGACTGATGCCGATTTATAGTGCTAGCCCACTGAGATACCATGCCGCAGTTTAACATGAATACCCCACTCATATACAGTATACTGACTCCGAGCCGACCAGTCCTTGTTTTAGCCCCTTAATGCCGAGCGCCAGACAGGGTAACAACAAGTACCATCTTTTAACGTCTTTTGGTATGACACGGCCGGGGATCGAACCCCGGTCCTTCCTCTCTCCGGGTGGACGCTCTACCACTAGACCACAGAGGCGGTTGAGGTGAAATAACGCTGTGTCCAAGATTATTGCACTTACATAGCAAAGTGCATGCATGTGTATGTGTGGCTGCTTGTACTAGTCTAGACTAATGGCAATTTTATAGTGCTAGCCAACTGAGATATCTTGCTGCAGTTTAACATCAAAACCCAACTCAGGAAGGTAGCAACAAGTACCATCTTTAAATGTTCTTTGGTATGACACAGCCGGGGATCGAACCCCCGACCTTCCACTCTCCAGGCGGACACTCTACCACAGGACCACAGAGAAGGTCGTGACCGTGTGTGTTTGGTTGTGTCTGCTTGTACTTGTCTGGTTTTATGGTGCTAACCAACTGAGATACCATGCCATAGTTTACCATGGAGACACCACTGCCAGTATACTGCCTCTGTGCCAACCTGTCCTTGTTTTAGTCCCTTAATGCTGAGTGCCAGGCAGGGTAACAACATGTATCTTTTAACGTCTATTGGCATGACACAGAAGGGATTGAGCAACTGTCCCAGCCCTACTCTCCAGGCATATACTCTATCTACTAGACCATGGAGTTGGGGTAGTACCTGATGCCGACCGCCCTCTCTAGGCAGACACTCTATCTACTACTAGACCATGGAGTTGATGTAGTACCTGATGCCGACCGCCCTCTCCAACAGCTGCTCTGCCTCCAGCACTCCCCCATTCTCCTTCAGGATGTTGGCGAGGTTGTTCATGGCTTGGTCGTACTGGGGGTTCAACCTACAGGAAAACAGGGTGACTTCAATGGGTGATCATTAGTGTCCTTTGATATAAAATATATCACACTGGGGGTTCAACCTACAGGAAAACAGGGTGACTTCAATGGGTGATCATTAGTGTCCTTTGATATAAAATATATCACACTGGGTGTTTAACCTACAGGAGGACTTCAATGGGTGGTCATTAGTGTCCTATGATATGAAATATATCACACTGGGTGTTTAACCTACAGGAGGACTTCAATGGGTGGTCATTAGTGTCCTATGATATGAAATATATCACACTGGGGGTTCAACCTACAGGAGGACTTCAATGGGTGATCATTGGTGTCCTATGATATGAAATATATCACACTGGGTGTTTAACCTACAGGGGGACTTCAATGGGTGGTCATTAGTGTCCTTTGATATAAAATATATCACACTGGGTGTTTAACCTACAGGAGGACTTCAATGGGTGGTCATTAGTGTCCTATGATATGAAATATATCACACTGGGTGTTTAACCTACAGGAGGACTTCAATGGGTGGTCATTAGTGTCCTATGATATGAAATATATCACACTGGGTGTTTAACCTACAGGGGGACTTCAATGGGTGGTCATTAGTGTCCTATGATATGAAATATATCACACTGGGTGTTTAACCTACAGGGGGACTTCAATGGGTGGTCATTAGTGTCCTATGATATGAAATATATCACACTGGGTGTTTAACCTACAGGGGGACTTCAATGGGTGATCATTAGTGTCCTATGATATGAAATATATCACACTTGGTGTTTAAACTACAGGGGGACTTCAATGGGTGGTCATTAGTGTCCTATGATATGAAATATATCACACTGGGTGTTTAACCTACAGGAGGACTTCAATGGGTGGTCATTAGTGTCCTATGATATGAAATATATCACACTGGGTGTTTAACCTACAGGGGGACTTCAATGGGTGGTCATTAGTGTCCTATGATATGAAATATATCACACTGGGTGTTTAACCTACAGGGGGACTTCAATGGGTGGTCATTAGTGTCCTATGATATGAAATATATCACACTGGGTGTTTAACCTACAGGGGGACTTCAATGGGTGATCATTAGTGTCCTATGATATGAAATATATCACACTTGGTGTTTAAACTACAGGGGGACTTCAATGGGTGGTCATTAGTGTCCTATGATATGAAATATATCACACTGGGTGTTTAACCTACAGGAGGACTTCAATGGGTGATCATTAGTGTCCTATGATATGAAATATATCACACTGGGTGTTTAACCTACAGGGGGACTTCAATGGGTGGTCATTAGTGTCCTATGATATGAAATATATCACACTGGGTGTTTAACCTACAGGGGGACTTCAATGGGTGGTCATTAGTGTCCTATGATATGAAATATATCACACTGGGTGTTTAACCTACAGGGGGACTTCAATGGGTGATCATTAGTGTCCTATGATATGAAATATATCACACTTGGTGTTTAAACTACAGGGGGACTTCAATGGGTGGTCATTAGTGTCCTATGATATGAAATATATCACACTGGGTGTTTAACCTACAGGAGGACTTCAATGGGTGGTCATTAGTGTCCTATGATATGAAATATATCACACTGGGTGTTTAACCTACAGGGGGACTTCAATGGGTGGTCATTAGTGTCCTATGATATGAAATATATCACACTGGGTGTTTAACCTACAGGGGGACTTCAATGGGTGGTCATTAGTGTCCTATGATATGAAATATATCACACTGGGTGTTTAACCTACAGGGGGACTTCAATGGGTGATCATTAGTGTCCTATGATATGAAATATATCACACTTGGTGTTTAAACTACAGGGGGACTTCAATGGGTGGTCATTAGTGTCCTATGATATGAAATATATCACACTGGGTGTTTAACCTACAGGAGGACTTCAATGGGTGATCATTAGTGTCCTATGATATGAAACATATCACACTGGGTGTTTAACCTACAGGGGGACTTCAATGGGTGGTCATTAGTGTCCTATGATATAAAATATATCAACACAAGTCAATAAAAAAGTTTATAACTCCTACGACTGCCGAGGAATTCTCAATTTGATTGGCCCTATATGACAATAATTAATTTAAGTCAATAAATGTTTAAAATTCAAAATACTGGGTGAGAGGCCATTTAATCACCCAAATTCTTTTTCCTACATTTTAAGTTTGTAAACAGTGACAATGAAGCCTCAGTTATCTATAACTGTTCTTTAAGGTCAACAACCGCTGGAACTAGACATCGATTGCCCCCACTGTCACACTTACCTGATAGCCAGTCTGTACTTGTCTATAGCAAAGTCTATATTGTTGTTGTCCGCCTGGAGCTTTGCTATGTTGTAGTGGACCTGTAATCAAGATGGCTTAATACATATAGAACTGGTTCACTTTGTGCATGTTTTGGCAGGAGATAACAGAGTTTTACCTTCACTTAGAGTGAGTGAGTGAGTGAGTGAGTATGGTTTTACGCCGCTTTTAGCAATATTCCAGCAACATCACGGCGGGGGACACCAGAAATGGGCTTCACACATTGTACCCATGTCGGGAATCGAACCCGGGTCTTCGGCGTTACGAGCGAACGCTTTAACCACTAGGCTACCCGACCGCCCCACCTTCACTTAGAAAAGTGGGGGTGCAGGGGACCTCCATAATTAATTGTAAGGGTCCTTGCGGGCCTTATGGGTCCTGTAAAGTAATGAAATGGTGTAGTGTACTGTACGTTTAGGTAATTACTTTATAGCCTGGAATGAATCATTTTTCATGATTGATGGATGAAATAACAGACACCCATAACTGCTCTTGATGCGTTGTAGGTACAATAAATGTTATTGTGCGTCTCTTGTGATGCAGTATTTTGTTTTCTGTGTCTATTCTCTACATTTGTGAGGACTGGACACACATTTGTGCGTCACATAAAACAAAGTGGGATAAATAAAGTGAACCCTTAAATTTTTAGCTTTAAACTTTTAACTTCCAAGAGTTATTTCAAGGACACTGTAGTGACCAAGATAAGGGAGTTGACTATGAAAGTCCTGTTTCCACCCTTGCCAAACTAGACTAGAATTATGGAATTATAGCGTCTGTGCATAGTTCAATCAAAGTCTCGTCACGAAATCCACATCGACATCAACAGATATTTTTCCAAGTTTTTCATGTAATTAATCAAGATTTGATGCATTTCGCTAAGCATGTCCCTCATCATTACTTTATAGATTTGGATTATTGATCAGATTGTCTTCATTGGGCGCCACCATTTTCTTTGAAGCAATTGCAAGTGATATGAGAGGTGCAATGTGACTGGTCAATAGGTTGGACATAGAAGGGACATAACTCCTAATAGTCACTGGTGGCGCTTAACTCGAGCCCAGAAATTCCAGCCGAGTTCGGCAAGTCTTTAAACAGTCTTTTAACTCCCTTGCCTCAGGAAGATGTGACATCAGTCAAACAAAGAGGGACGGTGAGACTGACCTTGGCATTTAATGGGCAAACTCGGACTCCTGATGAAAACAAGGTGATCTCCTCCCTCCACTCATTGCTTCTCTGAAACAAAGTATCATAGAGTTCCACACGAGCTACATGGAATGACTGATTGCTGGCACAGTGTTATTGAATAAGGCCTTATTAACTTTCATTTATGTAGCTCTAAGCCGACTTCACGGAACCAAAAGAGAGGAAGATGGTTTCGTGCTTTGTTGAATAGTTTTACATCATTGCACTGAATGCAATATTTAAATACAAATTAAATAAACCTCTGAAGTTTGAAAATAAAACCTTTTAAAAAATCCCAATTTTGAACATACCGTAATTCAACATAATAAGCACCCAGGGAGCTCTCAAAATTAGTAATAGGGGGCGCTTATTAGAATATTATTTTGAGTTGAAAGATCGTAAATTTCGTGGTTTATGCTAACAGCCTGAAATGTTTACATATGACAGATATATTTTTCAAGGATTTAATTGCCCATAATTAAGGGTGATATAACACACGAGTGCGTATGAAACACAAATAAATAAGTCTTGTGTACATTAATTAATTGGAAGGGGTGCTGATTGGGATTGTTCACCAGCCAATATATTAGAAAATATCGCCATGGGTGCTTATTAGAGCGGGGCGCTTATTACGTCGAATACAGTAATCATTATTTATTCCCAATACTGCTAAGCAGCATGCTAAGGGCAGTTAGTCTGGAATCCCTGTGTGTTTCCTTCTCAACACCATTTACACAATCCATTCAAACACTCATGCTTCACGTCACCCATGTCCATCAACATTTAATGAACACAAACGCCATTAATATTTTGTTTTAAATAAATAAAAACAAATAAAATTCTTGGGTGGGTCGGTGATTGATTGATTGATTGATTGATTGATTGATTGATTGATTGATTGATTGGGTGGTTCAGTGGGTGAGTGAGTGAGTGAGTGAGTGAGTGAGTGAGTGAGTGAGTGAGTGAGCGAGCTAGCGAGCATAGCCTGCAGGATCTTAGGCTGCATTTATTCCAGCAATATCATGACAGGGGAACACCAATAATGGGCTTCAAACATTCAAACCATATTTGGAATCGAACCCAGATCTTCTGCTTGACGAGCTAACACATTAAAAGCAGGTGCGAGAGTTTTGAATTGTCAGACTGTCAGTGAATGCCGAATGTATTAGCCAGGCCTACCTGCATGGAGCGAAGGATGAACACGGCGATGAGGATGCAAAACCCAGCAGACACAAGCTGTAGCACAAAATTTAAAAAAAAATAAGACGTAAGCATGGCAAGACAAGTGAATGCCTGTATTGATGGAGTCTGGACCAGGCAAACCAGTGACTGGGCTTCTGACGTGTAACAGTGCATCCAAGCAGGGCTTGGGTTAACATGGACCTAAGGCCGACGCGGACAGAAGTACCTGACCAGGGGAGATAACTCACATCTTCACTTCACACATGTATGGATGAGACAAGGAAGAGAAGCACTACGTGTATTCTGATTTAGACGATGCAAAAACAAAAGATCAATTAAATGTCACCATTTTGATATTACATTGTGATTGGGCGCACTGGTTGGGGTTGTGTTTTGAGACACGTGAGTCCTTTTTTTCTGCCCGTCAAAGCATGAGGTGAAATGGGGTTTAATGTCGCGTCCAAGTTTATTGCACTTCTACAGCGACGTGGGTGCAAGTCTGTGTGTGTGGCTACTTGTTCTAGTCCAGACAGATGCCGATTTATAGTGCTAGCTCACTGAGATACCATGCCGCAGTTTAACATGAATACCCCACTCAGACACAGAATACTGACTCCGAGCCGACCAGTCCTTGTTTTCACTCCTTAATGCCGAGCAATAGACAGGGTAACAACAAGTACCATCTTTTAACCATCTTGGTATGACATGGCTGGGGACTGAACCCCGGACCTTCCGCACTCCGGGCGGACGGACGCTCTACCACTAGACCACATAGGCAGTCTTTGTCAAAGTATGAGCATCTACCAACACCATTAGGATTTTGGTTTGGTTTGGTTTGTTGTTTAACGCCGCAGTCTGTAAATAATCGAGTCTGAACCAGACAATCCAGTGATTAATATCATGAGCATCAATCCACGCAATTGGGATCGATGACATGCATCAACCAAATCAGCAAGCCTGACCACCCGATCCCGTTAGTCGCCTTTTATGACAAGCATAGTCACCTTTTACGGCAACCATGGGTTGCTGAAAACCTATTCTACCCCGGAATCTTCACGGGTCATTGGGAACAATGACACAATATCATCCAGGACACTCATAGACCCTCAATGTAGTCAGTTCCTTTGAAGTGAGGTAAAATGGGGTTTAACGTCGTGTCACGTTCAAGATTATTGCACATATAGTGACGTGCATGCATGTGCGTGTGCCTCTGCTTGTACTATGGTAGTCAGGGAAATGCTGGTTTTATTGTGTTTGTTGTTGAATGCTGCGCTCAGCAATATTCCAGCTATATGACGGTGGTCTTTAAATAATTGAGTTTGGACCAGACAATCCAGTGATGGACATCATGGGCATTGATACACACAATTGGGATAGGAGTAATTGAGTATGTTTTATGCTGCTTTGTGGAATATTCCAGCAATATCACGGTGGGGGGCATTGATACACACAATTGGGATAGGAGTAATTGAGTCTGTTTTATGCTGCTTTGTGGAATATTCCAGCAATATCACGGCGAGGGGGCACCAGAAATGGGCTTCACACATTGTACCCGTGAGGGGAATCGAACCCGGGCCTTGGGCGTGACGAGCGAACACTTTAAACACTAGGCTCCCCCACCACGCCTGCATCAACCAAGTCAGCGAGCTTAACCACCCAATCCCAGTAGTCGCCTCTTACGACAAGCATAGTCCTCTTTTACAGCAAGCATGGGTTTCTCAAGACTTATTCTAACCCAGATCTTCACTTTATTGTGGAAGCCAACCGACACAGTATACTGACTCCTTGACGACCAGTCCTTGTTTACTGGCCAAGCACCAACAACAAGGGTTACAACAAGGACCATCTTTTAACACTTTTGGAATGATCGAACCACCAACCTTCCTCTGTTGTTTGTTTGTTTGTTGTTTAACGCCGCACTCAGCAATATTCCAGCTATATGACGGCGGTCTGTAAATAATCAAGTCTGGACCAGACAATCCAGTGATTGACATCATGAGCATCATAACACAGAATCCTCGCAGGGCTTCGACCTCGCTATTTGTTGTAAGGTGAGGTGAGGTGAAATTGGGTTTAACGTCGCATCCAAGATTATTGCACTTCTATAGCGACGTGCATGCACGTGTGTGTGTGTGTGGCTGCTTGTACTTGTCCAGACTGATGCCGATTTATAGTGCTAGCCCACTGAGATACCATGCCGCAATTTAACATGAATACCCCACTCAGACACAGTATACTGACGCCGAGCCGACTGACGCGGCCGGGGATCAAACCCCGGACCTTCCGTTCTCCGGGCGGACGTTCTATCACTAGACCACAGAGGCTATTTGTTGTAACTGATCATATCTATAAAGCAGTTGTCAAAGTCCCTCTCACAAACTGCAGTGTGTATGAGAAGGTTACCTGTTTGGCAGTAGTGTGTAGATGAAGACAGATCTGCCTTGCCCCGAGCACCACCAACATACAGAAGCCAGCACAGGACAGGTACAGGATCCTCTCTGCAATCACGAAGCCCACACGGAAAAACAGGTTGCTGGCGGGCAGGAAGGGAACTCCCAACACTGCCAGGGACGTTATCAGGATTCTGCAGATAGAAAACATCAACATGTAATTGCTATTCCAAGTGTGCAGTGAGGTCGTCTTATCAACAGTCATTTCCAAGACATAAATGTAAAATTTAATTAATCCAAGCAAAGTCCACTCGCCTTTTTCGTATTTAATTAACTCTCAGATTAATTTCAAGATTTACAGCATTTAAGCAGTATGACAGAGAACTGTAAAAAAGTAAATCACAGTCTGGACAAGACAAATTATTGATGGATATTAGAAGCAATCCCACTGCGGAGTATGATGACAAACAATCATCCGAGTCTTTGTTTGTTTGTTTGTTTGTTGTTCAACGCCGCACTCAGCAATATTCCAGCTATATGACGGTGGTCTGTAAATCGAGTCTGGACACAATTGGGATACGATGACATGCATCAACCAAGTCAGCAAATCTGACCACCTGATCCCATTAGTCGCCTTGCAATAAAATACTGGTTGCTGGAAAAGACATCAAACCTGGCATCTCAACAGGGGATTGTCAATATCACAAGTTATGATATTTCAATTTTTTTTAACTCTTAAGCAGAGCTCCAGATAAGCTGCGTATCTGCGTGAAATACGCATCAGAAATGCAGAAATATGCAGTAAAATATAATCCAAGCGTATCAAATACGCAACGAACATTACAAATACACTACAAAAATAAAACTTGTGCGTATCATCAAAATATTGTGAAGTAACCCTGCGTATTCGATTAGCAAATCAGCAACTTATTTTGAAATTATAAACGGGCATTCAGTCAACCTTGCCAAACTCCACGATGACAGTTACATCATGATCATTTGCCATTACACTATCTTGTGGAAGTATCGTGGTATTTTTGAGTCCTGTAAAGCTCTCGAACCCACACAACACCAGTTTGCAGAGACTAGATGAATAGTGTTTCTAAATATTTAACTTAAATACCCACATGTGTAAAAACTAGTGGGTAACAGAAATTTGAATACGCAGATAGAATTACTGATACCCAATGATTTTAAAATGCATGGGTAAAATACCCACAACACCAAAAGCTTATCTGGAGCTCTGCTTAAGGATGTCTGGTCATCTGTATTCAGATTACTTAACATTTCTAAGATCATCCATGATTATTTATTGTTTTAATACTAGTGTGCTATTTTTTAACAAATGTTCAAAAACATGTTCATTTTTGTATATCCCACAATTTCTAACATGCAGCAACATCCATCGATGACATCATACAGTGCTATGACATCATGACAGTAGGCTACAATGCAGTGATGTCATAGTTTAAAGAGAGAGTGAGTGAGTGAGCTGGGTTTAACGCCCTCTTTGAACAGAATTCGAGTTGTTCCAGCTTAAAGTGGGAGGAAAGCCATAAAATGATGCAGGTCTCAGACGTTTACCACTTGTAACACACGACCACAGGTATGGTGCTGACAAACCCTGACACATAATTTGGGCGAACCTGAGGCAAGTAACAATGTCATAGTACTCACTTCACTGTTATCAATTCACTTACCAATCTCATTAAAATCAGACCTCAGTTCTCGCTACCACTCAACAAAGATCTGAGGACATCCCATTAGGGGTCACGTCAGAACGACCTTTCATCCGACCAATTAGAGCATCGCTTACCAGATTATGAAAGTGACAGTCAGAATGTGATTTCTAATCATGCAACCTCGAAAACTTTAACTCCAAGCGATAGTTACGGGTTTAACGAATGAATCAATACAATCTAGACCATCTGTTAGCCATTTCAGAATGTTCTTTTGTTCAGGTTTCAAATTTGTAATCAAGAATTTGTCAAAATATGTTTTGAAGCGTAGTCGCCAATTTGAAATAAGTGCCGTAGAGCACAAGAAAGCTGCCTTCTGATTGGTCATTCCATTGGTCGGTCAAAGTTCGCGCAAGGTCGGTCTGACGTGACCCGTAACGGGATGTCCTCAGATCTTTGTTTAGCTGCAGCGAGAACTTAGATCTGATTTTAATGAGATTGTTCACTTACGAACAGATATATAATACCCTATCTGTGAGTATTTGGTTTTAAGTCTATGAATCTATTATATTTGGATGCATTGCTTTATTTGGCGACAGACTGACTTAAAATATGTCGTAAAGGACTCCTGATACACATAAATGAGCGAGCAGACATTGTTGAAGGACATGGCATTACACTTGCCATTTTGGATCTTAATGACGTCAGATCCAATCTGTTTATATGACATTTTTATTCAACACTTGCATGTTTTAGTTTAGAATTTTGGCGACACAGAATTAATTGTTACAACACCTGAAGTGTATCTTTCAGGGTGCGAGGGAGATTTGTTGATAGATGGTATCAATAGACAAAGATACTAGTATCGATGGGGGCATTATACTGTGTGATGAGTGGAGAGGGAGGGGATGATAGCCATTCAAGCGTTCACAGCAGCAGGAATACCTAACTTTCAATTATAGTTATCCATGTATCAATGTACCGACAGCAAGGATTGCTGGGCATAGTATCACTGGATTGTCTGGTCCAGCCTCCATTATTTATAGGCCGCTATCATAAAGCTGGAATATTGCTGAATGATACGTTTGAACAAACCACATGCACAGGCACATGCACATGCACATGCACAGGCACATGCACAGGCACAGGCACACACACAGGCACAGGCACAATCACACACACAAACACAGGCACACATACAGGCACAGACACAAGCACAGGCACACACACAGACACAGGCACACACAGACACATACACAGGCACAGACACAAGCACAGGCACAGGCACACACACACACATACACAGGCACATACACAGGCACAGGCACATACACAGGCAAGGGCACATACACAGGCACAGGCACACACACAGACACAGGCACAGGCACACACACAGGCACATACACAGGCACAGGCACATACACAGGCACATACACAGTCACATACACAGGCACATACACAGACACAGGCACATACACAGGCACAGGCACATACACAGGCACATACACAGGCACAGGCACATACACAGGCACAGGCACATACACAGACACATACACAGGCACAGGCACAGGCACAGACACTCACAGAGTTTGGGAAGCTCACCTGCGATCCTGGGTAAGGTCTCCTCGGCAACACTGGAACAATAAAGCACCAAAGACAGCCCAGAGAGCTATGTCTGCCAGTATTCTGGGATCAGCCAATGAGGTGATGACAGGTATACAGCCCATCGACCAATCAAAACACAGCCACCATGGATTTAAAAGGAGCCAGGAATTGATTGCATAGAGGTAGTTGTAGTTCAAAATCTGCAAAACAAATAGGAATTTAAGTGTATAACAATAACTATACTTCCACGAATGTCTGTCAGTGCCACTGTAATAATATTGTCACAATGTGTCACTGTAATTGTGCATCATTGTAATTGAGGCGAGTCCGACGTCACAAATAACATTATTGCACTTATATAGCGATGTGTGCGTGCGGCCGTGTGTGCATCCATGGGTGCGGTTTTCTACAGTTTTAACTGAATACCCCCTCAGACACACTATACTGACTCCAAGCCAACCAGTCATTGTTTTGTCCCATTAAAGCAGAAAGCCAACAAGTACTATCTTTTAACATCTTATGGTATGACACGCCCGGGGATAGAACCCAGGGCTTCCCGCTCTCTGTGAGGTGAAACAGAGCTTACTGTTGCATCCAAGATTATTGCACTTATAGAGCGACTGCATGCACGTGTGTGTACTAGTCCGGACTGATGCCAATTTTATTGTGCTAGCCCACTGACATACCATGCCGCAGTTTAACATGAATGCCCCACTCAGACACAGTATACTGACTCCGAGCCGACCAGTCCTTGTTTTAGCCCATTAATGCCGAGCACCAGGCAGGGTAACAACAAGTATGTGTCAGTGTTATCAATGGTCAGTATTATCACTGGTCAGTGTCATTAATAGTCAGTATTATCACTGGTCAGTGTTACAGGACAGTGTTTTAATGAATCAGTGTTACCACAGGACAGTGTTAATATGTGTCATATTTTGTCTGTGTTATTGTAGATCACACTTACTTTCAATATTGTGCCGTTCACAAAGGAATGTGGATTATCATGCACTTGGAATATGGGTGTTGTTGATCCCATGACCCGTAGTCGTGTGATGAGGAGTGACACGCCCGTCACTAACAGGATGAGGTGACGCACGATGAGACCCTTCACCCATGGAGATATCTCCGGCTGAAACAGAAAACAAATATACAAAACCATGACCTACCTTTGTCATATCTCAACACCCTTAAATATACATGAACCATTTAGTATTTGCATATTTGTGGTCATTGACCATTATTTACAAATAGCTGCTGAAAATACAATTGGTTGGTTTATGTTACTGTTATCAGCTGTTATAAGTATATATTACCTTAAATGGAAAAGCCAAATAAATATGACCTTGCCTGGAGTGGGGTAGAAGTTAGTTATACCATGCTTTCCTTAGTCTATCAACCATTACATCAACAATGAATGAATGAATGAATGAATGAATGAATGAATGAAGGAATGAATGAATGAATGAATGAATGAATGGTTGTTGGTTTTTTTGTTTAACGCCGCACTCAGCAATATTACAGCTATATGACGGCGGTCTGTAAATAATCGAGTCTGGACCAGACAATCCAGTGATTAATATCATGAGCATCAATCCACGCAATTGGGATCGATGACATGCATCAACCAATTCAGCGAGCCTGACCACCCGATCCCGTTAGTCGCCTTTTACGACAAGCATAGTCACCTTTTGAATGAATGAATGAATGAAAACAACAAAAATAATAATAATAAACATAAACAAAACAACAACAACAAAACAAATAAATAAAAATAACAAGCAGAAAAAAATATTATGAAAAGAAAAAGATAAACAATTCTGTTCATGAACATGATGAAGAAGCATCATCATGGTATGGGCGTCACTTCCTGTGAATATCCTCCACTCTCTTCCTCTCTGTTGTCTTACCTTGTTTTTGACATGGTTATTATTGAACCCATTATGACCATTCTCTTCAGATTTCTTTGGTTTCCTGAATGGCAGCAGCTGGAAGGGGTTGGCCCTGCACACCACGATGACGTCAAACACACTACAGATACCCTGGAAGTACAAGATGATTGGACTTTAGCAGCCATCCAAATACTGAGGCTAGTATTATTTCCTTTAGCCACTGGTAAGAAGTCCAAGCTTAGTAACATTGCATTTAGCTAATAGTATCAAGCCAGAGAGGGGTAACAATTCTTTGAGCAGCTAGAATTAGGCCCGAGTTTAGAAACATTTTTTTAGCCACTGGTTTTGAATACAGAGCTTAGTAGAGACACCAGGGAGAAGGACTCGGGACGGTAACTGACCAGGGATGAAACACTGAATACACTTACTATGACAGTGATGCCCTGTTCTTTACAGAAGGTGGACACCACACACAGACACATACTGGCCAGTAGAGACACCAGGGAGAAGGACTCGGGACGGTAACTGACCAGGGATGAAACACTGAATACACTTACTATGACAGTGATGCCCTGTTCCTTACAGAAGGTGGACACCACACACAGACACATACTGGCCAGTACAGACACCAGGGAGAAGGACTCGGGACGGTAACTGACCAGGGATGACACCCTGAATACACTTACTATGACAGTGATGCCCTGTTCTTTACAGAAGGTGGACACCACACACAGACACATACTGGCCAGTACAGACATCAGGGAGAAGGGCTCGTGAAGGTAACTGACCAGGGATGAAACACTGAATACACTTACTATGACAGTGATGCCCTGCTCCTTACAGAAGGTGGACACCACACACAGACACATACTGGCCAGTACAGACACCAGGGAGAAGGACTCGGGACGGTAACTGACCAGGGATGAAACACTGAATACACTTACTATGACAGTGATGCCCTGCTCCTTACAGAAGGTGGACACGACACACAGACACATACTGGCCAGTAGAGACACCAGGGAGAAGAACTCGGGACGGTAACTGACCAGGGATGAAATACTGAATACACTTACTATGACAGTGATGCCCTGTTCCTTACAGAAGGTGGACACGACACACAGACACATACTGGCCAGTACAGACACCAGGGAGAAGGACTCGGGACGGTAACTGACCAGGGATGAAACACTGAATACACTTACTATGACAGTGATGCCCTGCTCGTTACAGAAGGTGGACACCACACACAGACACATACTGGCCAGTACAGACACCAGGGAGAAGGACTCCGGACGGTAACTGACCAGGGATGAAACACTGAATACACTTACTATGACAGTGATGCCCTGTTCCTTACAGAAGGTGGACACGACACACAGACACATACTGGCCAGTAGAGACACCAGGGAGAAGAACTCGGGACGGTAACTGACCAGGGATGAAATACTGAATACACTTACTATGACAGTGATGCCCTGCTCGTTACAGAAGGTGGACACCACACACAGACACATACTGGCCAGAAGAGACACCAAGGAGAAGGACTTAGGACGGTAGCTGACCATGGATAAAACACTGACTACACTTACTATGACAGTGATGCCATGCCCTGCTCCTTACAGAAGGTGGACACCACACACAGACACATACTGGCCAGTAGAGACACCAGGGAGAAGGACGCAGGACGGTAACTGACCAGGGATGAAACACTGACTACACTTACTATGACAGTGATGCCCTGCTCCTTACAGAAGGTGGACACGACACACAGACACATACTGGCCAGTAGAGACACCAGGGAGAAGGACTCGGGACGGTAACTGACCTGAGACGAACCTGAAACAAGTCAAACAGAAAATATCTTCAACCCTCACTTCCATACACACAAGTAGTTTGATCTCGGTTTATGTCAGGGGTAAAACTAGAACTGATTGATCATACACGGACCTTATAGTTAGTTTATTGTGTTTGACCATTGTAGATCCGTGTTAAAATAGGTCTTCAGCAACCCATGCTTGCCGTAAAAGACGACTCTGCTTGTCGCAAGAGGCATCTGACGGGACCGGGTAGTCTTAGGCTCACTGAAAGGGTTGATGCATGTTATTGTACCCCAATTGCATACATTGATGCTCATGATGTCAATCATCGGGTTATTTACAGTCTGCTGTTATATAGCTTGAATATTGCTGAATGCGGCGTTAAACAATAAACACCAAGATAACTTTGAGGCCATAATAAATTAACTGTAAGAATTTCTTCCCCATTGCCCCACTTACAACACAGGAATTCACTTCAAATTCAGGAATATTTACTGACATTTGTAGCGGCCTAGGTGCTGAATACCGGCCTCTAAGAAGTCTAGATAAATCCCTGTCCACAGTACCCACAGCAGCGGAAGATTGCAAGAAGTGCGCATTCCCTTCCTTCACTACTTGATGGAATGCACCATACTACAGGGCTCAATATAAGGAGTGAGTGAGTGAGTCGGGTTTCAACGCCGCTTTTAACAGTATTCCACTTATATCACGGCATGTCAGCCTAATGTGGGAGGAAAGCCCGAAGTGATGCAGGTCTCAGACGTTTACCACTTCAGTGAAACCCACGAGCACGGGTATGGTGCTGACAAACCTAGAAACATAATCGGGGCGAACCGGGATTCGAACCCACAATCATAGGTTTCTGGCGTGCCCAAGGGACACAACTCTGCACAGCGAATTGCGGCTCCTCAGACGACTGGGCCACCCATACCCTTGTAAAATGTAATATGAACGTGTTCACATGATGTCAAGCCTAAGATAAGAAGCATGACAAATTACACATAATACATGGATTAGTGATGTAGTATGGAAAATAAATTTCAGAGGTATTGGGTGTGTTCATAGATCGATATTATATGAACAAGTAAGCGTTTTAATATACAATAAACAACGACCACTCATCATTTATTTCGTATATGAGATTATCAACATTTTGTACAGCCTCTTTAAGGATGTTAATAAAATGTACAAGCCTTAAAAATATTTACACATATTTAAATAATGAACATGATGAAGACTCACTTAATACAATCCAACCTCAGCAAAGTCTGACAAGTCCATTTATGAAGGGGGATTATGTTTGGTTTCCCGGATATTTTCACAATTTTCAGCAACAACTATGGGGAACACCTCTCTGGACACTTCCCTCTCAAATATGATGTCATCATCAAGTTGCTAGAACAATGTTTAATTTTTCAGAAAGACAATGTGGTATTTCGAGTCCTGAAGTAATAGTGGTGTACAGGCAATTAGTTCTGTGACTGCAACCGAAAAAATAACATAATGGCAAGGACTGACTGACTATGGTTTTACGCCGCTTTTAGCAATATTCCAGCAATATCACGGCGGGGGACACCAGAAATGGGCTTCACACATTGTACCCATGTCGGGAATCGAACCCGGGTCTTCGGCGTGACAAGCGAACGCTTTAACCACTAGACTACCCCACCGCCCCTAATGGCAAGGAGGGTTACAGCAACAGGTCAGAAAGAGAGGTATTCTGAAAACATCACAACTCACGTGGGAGGCATGCCCTGGCATACAGAAGGAATGATAGTAGGAAGGTCAAGGCACAGAGCAGGTCAGCCCGACCCACGACCCCAGCAACCTGCAACACAGCAAGGTCAAGGTTACATAAGATTACTGTTATTAAAAGAAAAAGCAGACCAATGAGTGAGTGAGTATGGTTTTACTGTTTTCAACAATATTCCAGCAATGTCACTTCGGGGGACACCATAAATGGGCTTCATACATTGTACCCATGTGGGGAATTGAACCTGAGCCTTCGGCGTGATGAGTGAACGCTTTAACCATTTGTCTACCAAATGAGCAATGATTTTGCAAGTAGACATAAATATACACTATGTACACTATGTAAATATCCACTATATACACTATGTAAATATACATTATATACACTATGTATATATCCACTATATACACTATGTAAATATACATTATATACACTATGTAAATATACATTATATACACTATGTAAATATACATTATATACACTATGTAAATATACATTATATACACTATGTAAATATACATTATGTACACTATGTAAATATACACTATGTAAATGTACAGTATATACACTACTGTATGTAAATATACACTATGTAAATATACACTATATGAACTATGTAAATATACATTATATACACTATGTAAATATACACTATGTAAATATACATTATATACACCATGTAAATATACCGATGTATACATTATATACACTAAGTAAATGTACAATATGTAAATATACAGTATATACACTATGTAAATATACATTATATACACTATGTAAATATACACTATATACACTGTAAATATACACTATAAACACTATACAGGGTTAGAAATTGGCGCTAGTCCTATAGTCCTTGCCAAACTGCCCAATGGTTAAAGGTATCATGAGGACCAGTAGAAAATTGCCATTTTTAAGGGTTTTGCTATATGTTATCATTATAAGGACCAGTGGACGAAAACTGTTAGTTTCTATATACACTACATAAATATACACTATATATACACTATATAAATATACACTATATAATACACTATATACATATACACTACATAAACATACACTATACAAATACACACTATATACACTATGTAAATATACACTATAGTTCGATGTGATGTGATGTGATGTGATGTGATGTGATGTGTTAATATACACTATGATATGATATGATATGATATGATATGATATGTAAATATACACTATGATATGATATGATATGATATGATATGATATGATATGATATGATATGATATGATATGATATGATATGATATGATATGATATGATTGTGTTCACGTTATTCCAAGACAGTACATGTTCAGACTGCCTCATGATTCATTATTGAAGTGTAAAAATGTGTGAAAATAATTTTAGCAACAGTTGGTCCAACCATCAGACCATAATTGATAATGCCTTGCCTTCATCATGTTTTACATACAGTGTACAGATTTACTGGACGTGCAATCCTGCATCATATACACATAAAATCGGAGGAAAACAAATATACAGAGTGCATCCAATAGGGACACAGAAAAATGCTATGAATGTTTATGAATGCTGCTATTTCAAAATTTAGAACCACTTAAATTTAATTTTCCTGTTTAATTATTAAAAATCATACCATACATCCTGCAACATCTTACATCACTTGTAGTAGAATACTGTAGTCAGTGTATCCCATGTTTCACCTGGGACTCCTACAGTTTAAAGATTTCAGTCCCCAAAACATGAAAAATAAGCAGCCCTGTAAATCCCTGAATATATGTTTGTAAACTGACATCTTATCATACTATTGATTTAAAACATTTCTCAACAGCCTACTCTTGCTCCAGTAAAATGCTGTATAGTTTCATTGCATGCAGCGCTGAGAAACTATATCATGGTGCACTGATAGATTGTTTTAGCTGATCACTTACTAGTGCCCAAAACATCATTTCCAGGAGATCTTAGTGTTAAGGACTTTATAAGCAAAGCTTGCCATGTCAAACACAGACTTATATATAATTACAGTAGTGCAGTCACCATTGTATATCTAAAATGAGACATCCATGTTCAAGGAAGACGAACAGCTGAAACGTATGCATGCGTGCGTGTGTGCTTGCGTGTATAAAATATATATATATATATATATATATATATATATATATATATATATATATATGCACGCACGAATATAAAATATACATATGTCAACTAATCAATCATCTCTTCTTGTTTAATGAGCTGATGAAAGAACCTGCCCGAACATATGCCTAAAGTTTTTCTCACAAAAAAACCTTTTGTTTGAACAGAACCTTAAACAGATTTGTTTTACAAAATTAACCATTAAGGCCAGATAAAGCACCCCAAATTAAAAAAAAAATCAATTATTCAAGTTTAATTTTCTTATTTATTCATGAAGAGGATATGAAACAGAATTGTTCATGTCAGCTTCCATTGTCATGGAAATGTCCAAAATGGCCTTGAAGAACAAATAACTGAAGAACTTCTAAATATCTCTAGTATGGTCTGTCTAATGTGGGAGAATTGAACATTTATTTGGAATCATAACAATTGGCAAATTAACACACACCAGGGACCAGACAACACAACCATAGAGGATTTACGGGATTTAACACCTCGCCACGGACCAGATGACACAACCTTATAGGATTTACGGGTTTTAGCACCTCGCCAGGAAGCAGACAACACAACCATATCGGATTTATGGGTTTTAACACCTTGCCAGGGACCAGATGACACAACCATATAGGATTTACGGGTTTTAACACCTCGCCACGGACCAGATGACACAACCTTATAGGATTTACGGGTTTTAGCACCTCGCCAGGAAGCAGACAACACAACCATATCGGATTTATGGGTTTTAACACCTTGCCAGGGACCAGATGACACAATCATATAGGATTTACGGGTTTCAACATCTCGCCAGGGACCAGACAACATAACCATATAGGATTTGTGGGTTTTAATACCACACCATATCTGATATATAATGGGTTCATTTGAATAATTCAAACTGAAGGTCTTTAGAAATAAAAAAATATAATAGTTGTACATGACATTTTGGAGACTCCACACTTCTTTGGCTGCAAATTAACATTATATATACTGTCTTATTTTCAGAAAAAAGAAAAAACATCTTAATTTTAACATGGTTAAATTAGAGGATTCAATGAAAACATCTATTCCCAAATCATGCATGCTCAAAGGAACATTGCTATGTTCTTTTGAAATACTCAACAACAACAACAACAACAACAACAACAACAACAACAGCAACAATCTAATCTATTTATACATGGCTGAAGTTTCAGTTTTCTTGTTCACAGGCACTTTACACCCAGCATATATGTATATATACACATGATATGCACAGACTGTTCATTTAGATGTTATTGCTACAGGATGTCATATGGAACAAGTAAGTTTTCAACCCCTTCGAAATCATGCCGGCATTTCTGATATTTTGTTTGTTATCAGTTTGTTTGTTGTTTAACTCTGCTTTTAGCAATAATCCAGCTATATGACGGCAGTCTGTAAATAATGGAGTCTGGGCCGGACAATCCAGTGACAAGAATGGGTTCCTGAAGACCTGGATCTTCACAGGTCTGTTCTGATGTGTCCTGGAAGAGACCTCCAGAGAGTTTACTGCTGCACATCTGAAACTACGTTCAACCATAGTTGTTCTGCACTGATGCTTTTGCAGAAGCTCTTCATCTTGTGACAGCAGTACTCTGGTTGGTTTGTGAGGCTTAACAAGGGTCCTTATATACACAGGTGCATATGTGGAACAGTGCCAGCTTTAGAAATTGGCACTAGTCCTGTAGTCATGGTAGTCCTTGCCAAACTGCCCAATAGTAAAGGTATCATAAGGACTAGAAGAAATTTGCCATTTTAAGGGTTTTGCTATATGTTATCATTAACAGGACTAGTAGACCAAAAATGTTAGTTTCTAACACTGAACAGCATCTTAAAAGTCATCCTTCTATAAATCTAGAAACTGGGAGCCAATGAACTTGCTTGAGAAATGGTGTTAAATGATGTTGCTTGGACGTCCTGGTGACGATTCTGGCTGCTGTTGTCTGTGGAAGCTGTAGTTTGTGAAGTGAAATTAGTGGTACTCCGTATTAAAGAGAGTTACACTTACAGTAATCAAGTTCAGAAATGAAGTGATTGTGCTAGCATCTTGGAAGCTTTTGGAGAGAGATATCAACAGAGCTTTCCAATCTGATCAAGATAGAAATGACCTGTCTTGTATAATGCTGCTACTTGTGTGAAATGTTAGAGCAGAATATAATGCCAAGATTCTCTACTTGTGCAGATGAAGTGACTAGAACGTCTCTGATTTTGCATGTGATTGTGGAATCGTCTGCAGTAGTTGACGTGATCCCACGAGAAGGACTTCAGTTTTGTCATCAGTTAGTTTTAGAATGTTGACTTTCATCCCAAAACTCACAGGGAATCATGTACACGGTGAAAAGGAGTGGGTGTTACACAGATCCCTTGCAGGACTTCATACAGCCAGTGGCTTGGTTCAGAAACAGACTTGCCAGTTGTCACACACTGGGATCGATGATGCAAATAGACTAAAACGATGCTGTGGCTCTACCTGAGATACCTAAACACATTCTCAGCTGCTTTAGAAATATGACATGGTCTATCGTATAGACAGATCTAGGACAACTATAACAACCTCGTCCTTGTCCACGGCTGACAGGATCTCATTCTTCCAGAAAACAGGACTCCTACGACAAATACAGCTGGTTGCTTAACATGACTTTGCATTGTCGAATAGTTGTTTTTCATATCTAGTAACACCAAGACTTGCCAAATGCTACATTATGGGATAGATAGCCGTGTATGATGTATGGAATTTCCCAAATGAATATACGCATTTAAGGAGCGGGATATCTCCTTTTATGGTGTGACAAATCAAAGAAATGTTCAACAACAGAAGCCATGAATTTGGGCTTGATTCACAGATCAGTTAGATGTGTGTAAAGCCGTGGGCACAGTTGAATCCCGAAGTGAATCGCGAATGACATAAGTTGAACAACAAAACAGGGTCTTCAATAGTTGCAATTATTAACTATTTGTTCTAAGACCTTGGATTATCTCAATATCAATGTTTGAAGCAAAAGCGACATTTTAAGAGCGCTGTACCTGGCCATAGCCATGTTAAAGGGACAGGACGTTGACCATTCTAAAGTTTTGTTTGTAAACAATAGCTGACAACGCAAAAGCTAACTTGGCTTTGCTCGCCTTATACAACCAGGGAATTTGTCTGCTCATGTGACCACACCTCTAGTGTAGGCTAATCATGTGACCACACCTCTAGTGTAGGCTTATCATGTGACCACACCTCTAGTGTAGGCTTATCATGTGGCCTAACCTCTAGTGTATGCTTATCATTTGACCACACCTTTAGTGTAGGCTTATCATGTGACCACACCTCTAGTGTAGGCTTATCATGTGACCACACCTCTAGTGTAGGCTTATCATGTGGCCACACCTCTAGTGTAGGCTTATCATGTGACCACACCTCTAATGTAGGCTTATAATGTGACCACACCTCTAGTGTAGGCTTATCATGTGACCACACCTCTAGTGTAGGCTTATCATGTGAACGGACTTTTCTCTTGTTTGTAAACAACAGCACTCGTTCTGAAATACGAACAGACGGGTCTAATGCAAGCCTTTGGTGTGATTGTTTTGCATATACTTCTACAACTTACACAGCGAGGTGCATGACAATATATTTTACATCGAGTGACTGTATCCGTAGGGATTTAATGGCAGTATAAATACGCAAATGAAAATAGTTTTTTACGTTCTAGGATATTTTCTTAATGAGTGAGTGAGAGTGAGTATGGTTTTACGCCGCTTTTAGCAATATTCCAGCAATATCACGGCGGGGGACACCAGAAATTGGCTTCACACATTGTACCCATGTCGGGAATCGAACCCGGGTCTTCGTCGTGACGAGCGAACGCTTTAACCACTAGGCTACCAGACCGCCCCTTTTCTTAATGAAAGTAAAACATTTCATGAGATGAAAAACACATGAACGATGTGACTATGTACGATGTGACAGAGGAAGTCGGCTGGCCGCAAGGAACTTTGGGTAGGAGAGTGATTGGCTTCATACGACTGAGGCATATTTATATTGTAATATAGGCTTTGATAAACTCTGGCTTCTAATCTAATCGGGCAGGCAACTAGAATTTTGTAACTCATGAGCTTTCTCTTCAATTTTCCTCTAATAAGAAAAAAACAACAGACTGAAGCCAGTTTATGCAGCATTTGCATTGTCGGCTTCACTGTGCAGAGCTCTATTGTTTTGATTTGAGACTTGATACATGCATGAGACGTTACACTCAAAAATGATTTCTCGTATGATTTAGAAACACAGAATCGTTGACGTACTATCCTTTAAACATCAAATTAACCCTGAAAACAAAATACAATATTTTCCATGCACATTTTGCCAAATTGGACAAGAAAACCTTCATCACAAGATTAATTTTATAATGAATTCTGAAAACTTTAAAGTTGCCATCTGGTTTGTTTTGGAAACTTTTCTTTAATTGTTTATTGGCATACTCAATTTTTAATAGGTGTCATGGCTGAAGTATTTTTGCATGTGTGTTTGGAGATGAAACTTCTTGCTTCGTAGTGTATATAACTATTAGCCCAAATGCATCATTTTCAGTAATTTTTAACAACTTCTACTCACACTCTCGGTGTGAATGGGATGCACAGCAAACAACACAGCACACAGGAGAGCAGCTCGGGGCGAGGCAAACACCGGCCTGGCAGATTCCTGGTCCACCTGGTAACCAGACATGAGGACAGAGAAGACTGCCATGAAGATGACCGACACCAAGCCGTGCAGGACGATGTTGACAACGTGGAAGCCCCGAGGATGAAGCCCATCTGCCCAGGCATAGTTCCACCTGGAGCAAACAACGGACATTGTAGAGATACAAAGATCAGAGGACATTACACTATATGACCAGAACAACCTTTAGTTTTACACACCATATTTTCTTGACTATAATATAAATAACCGACAATAGTGAAGTGCTACGCTTAGGCATGTTAGGGGCATTATTATTTTAAACATATTTAATAAAAGCTGCAACTAAAATAACAAGATATTGGAATATATTATTCATGATAAAAAAAATAGTTTCAGATCCAATTTTTCCCGGTCCTTGCATCAAAATCCTTTAAAGTTATATAATTGGGTAAGTTTTTTACCGAATCAACGGTAAATTCCAAGAAAACGTGTGTACAGCTAATTGCTGTTTCCGGCTTAGTGTACGAGAAAATACACAAGGTAATGTTAATCCCTGGATGTAAAACAATGCCTAGCAGAACAAAAAATACAATTTGAACAGTAAATCAACATGTCTGGTGATTCTTTATCTCAAATTTGTACTGACCAAGTTTCTTATCATCCGTTTGTTTACCAGAATTCGCTGAAGTGGTATGGTGGTTTTTTTTCCTGCGCATAATATTCGAATAAAAAAAATATAAAAAATATTTAATCCGCTAGAGGGGGGTGCGCAGTATACTCAAGAAAATAAGGTACTTTGACTGGCCATTTAATTGACTAACAACATTAGTCAACATTAACCATCTTTTTCTGGCATCATGGCACTAGTTTAAAAATGGTGACTTCCATTCCAGATTATGCTTTGAAAAATATTTTTTCAAAATTCTAAATTCAAAATCTGATGACTGAAAAAAATAATTCCGGAAAGTCTATAAGATGGCCGATATTGTATGTCAGTACTTTGGAATACTCAGCAATATTCCAGCTACATGACGGTGGTCTGAAAATAATCAAAACTGGACCAGACAATCCAGACGATCCAAATGGGATATGATGACATTCATCTACCAAGTCAGTGAGTCTGACCACTCGATCTCGTTAGTCACCTTTAAGCATGGGTTGCTGAAGACCTATTCTACCCCGGATCTTCACGGGTGGGACCCCCTTATGGGCTTCTGTGATGGAAGAACAGATATCCCAACTAAACAGCTTGGGATGCAAGCAATCCGTGAAGGGTGATGTGAAATGGGGTTTAATGTTGCGCAACGTGCATTCATGTACATGTGTGTGTGGCCGCTTGTACTATTTCGGACTAATGCCTATTTTATAGTGCTAGCCCACTGAGATACCATGCCGCAGTTTAACATGAAATACCCCTCGGACACAGTATTCTGACTCAAAGTCGACCAGTCCTTATTTAAGCTCCTTAATGCTCAGCGCCAGACAGGGTAACAACAAGTACCATCTTTTAACATCTTCTGGTATGACGCGGCCAGGGATCAAACCCGGACCTTCGGCTCTCCGGGCGGACGCTCTACACTAGACCACGGAGACGATCTCAATAAGTGAAGGGAAACAATCAGTACCTGTAAGTCATCACAGTGAGAGGTCTGTACGACTTGTGACTCGTCTTTGAGTCCAACTTTCTCCCCCAGAAGTCATGAGCAAAGATGGCTTGAAGCGGTGTCTCTGGAAGCAAGTCTTTGTTGGCAATGATGGCTTCACTGTCGTCAAACACAAAGTCTCCATCATGGCTGTTCGCGAAACACAGTACCGCCAGACAGAAGACGAGGACAGATGCCACAGAGAACCTGAGTTTGGGTACAGGAAGGACGTCATCCCATTGTGACTGCTGGTAGCTGCTTACATGGCCGTTGGTCTTGGAGGATCTTGAGGTCGATCTAGCTGCGGTTGCCATTATGCTACATCATTCTGAAAGAGATTAAATATGTCAGATCAGATCAATAGTAATTACAATACAACAGTTTTAGTCCACTAGTCCTTATAATGATAGTGAGTGAGTGAGTTGGGTTTAATGCCGCTTTTAACATTATTCCAGTTATATTGCGGCGTGTCAGCTTAATGTGGGAGGAAAGCCCGAAGTGATGCAGGTCTCAGACGTTTACCACTTCGGTGAAACCCACGAGCACGGGTATGGTGCTGACAAACCTAGAAACATCAAAACCGGGATTACAACCCACAATCATAGGTTTCTGGCGTGCCTAAGGGACGCAACTCTGCACAGCGAATCGCTGCGCCTTAGACGACCGGGCCATCCGTGCCCCCCTTCTAATCTTAACATGAAGCAAAACCCATAAAAATGGCAAATTTCTACTTGTCCTCATGATACCTTAACTATTTGGCAGTTTGGCAAGGACTACAGGACTACTCAGCGGACTAGTGCCAATTTCTGACCCTGCAATATCTGATAACTATCGCAATACTATTGCAATACTGTGGTGTACTATTGCAACACTATCACTAAATAGCCAAAGCAGTCACCCCTTTTTTTATGTTGCTCCTGGGGGGGTAGGGTAGCCTAGTGGTTAAAGCGTTCGCTCATCATGCCGAAGACCCAGGTTCGATTCCTGACATGGGTACAATGTGTGAAGCCCATTTCTGGTGTCCCCTGCTGTGATATTGCTAAAAAGGGAGTAAAACCATACTCACTCACTTATGCTGCTCCCAAAGTTTTTGAATCAAGGCACTAACATTAAGGCCATGACAGAATATGGTTCCATGCTCATGTTATCAACCACTACAGTTTCCTTGGCGATTTACTGACAATTATTTATACAGCTACAGAATTTCTAAATGTGACACAAAACAAAACTCACGGTCTCATGCCAAAATAAACTTAGGTAAACAATAGCCAGGATATCTTGGACGATTACTTTCTCGCTGTTGGATCAGACCAACTCTGTATCGAATGCGCTGTATCAAGTGACAGAGCTCCAGATAAGGTGTTGTGGGTATTTTACCCATGCATTTTAAAATCATTGGGTATTAGTAATTCTATCTGGGTATTCAAATTTCTGTTACCCACTAGTTTTTACACATGTGGGTATTTAAGTTAAATATTTAAAAACACTATTCATCTAGTCCCTGCAAACTGGCGTCGTGTGGGTTCCAGAGCTTTATAGGACTCAAAAATACTGCGATACTTCCACAAGAAAGTGTGATGGCAAATGATCATGATGTAACTGTCATCGTGGAGTTTGGCAAGGTTGACGGAGTGCCCGTTTATAATTTCAAAATAAGTTGCTGATTTGCTAATCGAATACGCAGGGTGACTTCACAATATTTTGATGATACCCACAAGTTTTATTTTTGTAGCGTATTTGTAATGTTCGTTGCGTATTTGATACGCTTGGATTTTATTTTACTGCGTATTTCTGCATTTCTGATGCGTGTTTTACGCAGATACGCAGCTTATGTGGAGCTCTGAGCGAATGATTTTATTACATAAAATATAACCATGATAACAATTTATGAACAAAATACAATCATGAAAGGTTGTTTTTTTTTGTGTGTGTGTGTGTGTAACGCGTCACTCAGCAATAATGCAGCTGTATGACGGCAGCCTGCAAATAATCAAGTCAGGACCAAACAATCCAGTGATTGATATTATGAGCATTGATCCACGCAATTGGGATACGATGACAAGTCAACCAAGTCAGCGAGCCTGACCACCCAATCCCATTAGATGCCTTTTACGACAGGCATAGTTGCCTTTTAAGGCAAGCATAGGTTGCCGAAGACCTATCCCACCCGGGGTCTTCATGGGTCAGTCATGACAGGAATAACATCATGTTATTGAACGATTCAGGGTTAGCAACATACATATAATTTCACAAGTCTGCTACAGAGTTGTAGTCAAGTCATTACGGACCATAAAATGTAAGACTGGGACAAAAACGTTGGAGTACTAGCCCAAACTTGGCTTCTTGCATATTTTTGTCTGACATGCTACTTGTCTCAGACAAGATGATTTATGTTAATTAAGAAAACTGCTTCTTGTTGTATTGTTACTGCTCTTCCAAACCAGGAAGTTGGTTGGTTGTTTAACGCCGCACTCAGCAATATTCCAGCTATATGACGGCGGTCTGCAAATGATCAAGTCTGGACAAGACAATCCAGTGATTAATATCATGAGCCTTGATCCACGCAATTGGGAACATTGACATGCATCAACCAAGTCAGCAAGCCTGACCACCCGATCCCGTTAGTCGCCTTTTACGACAAGTATAGTCGCCCCAAACCAGGAAGTGGTGACATGAAGTTCTCTGCTGTGTGTGCAACCTGAAAACGAAGTCACCCATTGTTCCTCATTCTACACGCTAGGGCTCCAACGAGGATTCGTGGCTGGGTCTGTTTCAGCAAAACTTAAGTCCACTATTGACGACTCGAATATGGCTGAAATATTGCTGACGTGACGTTAAATATTAACTCACTCACGCTAAGGGGACATATAACTAATTCCAACGTACTTTGTTAATCATGTTAATTTCAATGCACGACGCATAGAGATCAACATGTCCCAGAAAGTTATGACAATGGAAACCTAACACACAGGTAGGTTTGTTTTACATTTTATAAGTTATATATACTACCGTATTTGACGTAATAAACGCACCGCTCTAATAAGCGCCCACGGCAATATTTGCTAATATAGTGGCAAGTGAACAATCCCAATTATTAGCCCCCCATCTGATTGATCAATGTACACAAGACCTATTTATTCGTGTATAATGTGCACTTGTGTGTTATATGCACCCTTAATTTTTAGGCAATTAAATTCTGGAAAAATATATCCGTCGTATATAAACAGTTCAGGCCGTCAGTATAAATCCCGAAATTTATCTTTCAACTGTTTTTTCCACCAAAATAATATTCTAATAAGAGTCCCCCAGTTCTAATTTTGATAGCGCCCTGGGTGCTTATTACGTCAAATACAGTATTTGCTTTTCATAGCTGGAACAAACAAGAAAGCTTCAGAAGACTAAACACTGAACTCTTATTGATAAATATAATTAAGTCATAAAAAAAGCACAATCTTATTGGGTACTCAAGCACGAGTTGAGGGAGGATGTGTGTTTGTGAAATAGCTTCTTGTTCTAACAAGTTACACACAGCTGCATTCTGTGGCATTCGGTTGATCAAAACAAATTTCATGGATGATTTCTCTATTTATATTAACATGATAAATGCTACGAAAGAATTGCTTATTGTGTCTGGTAAGAGTAGTCACACTATATTACTTTCGAGTCGTGATCGCAATGTCAGACAGCTGTCACAGCATGGGCGTAGACGTATGTTAAAAAGTTCAACTGATGGTGAATTTCTCACCAAGCGTGTCTGATCAGCACATTTCATGCAGAACTCGGGAAGAAATATATACATACCGGCCATGGTGACATAATACACAGACTTAAAAAATCACATCACTTACTAAAATTAAATAAACATCATACCTTATTACGTTGACTTAAAAAAACAACTGAAATGAAATTAACCCACTGCGATTGAAACCGTCAACTGAAATCTCGAATTTTAACAAAATCACGCCAGCAGAACATGACAGTAGCCCGTCTTCGAAATTCTTCTGTTTACATGTGTGTTCAAATGGCTTGAGATCTCAAACTGTAATCAAGGATAAATACTGAGTGATTTTTGGACAAAAGATATGTACATGGTTGATCTATGCACACCTAAGGTTTGACAGAAATGTGTACAGATAGGAAATAATCACCGTCTGTCCATCTGTCAATCTCCACATGTAGTGTAGTTTCTTCTCCCTTTGTAGTTGTCGTAAACGGCATTCTAATAACGACATTGTCTTTTTATTTATTTATTGCGAACATTTTGTATATTTAGAACTACAGTTTGTTTCTACTTGAACTACATGGCAGAATACCGTATCATATTAACAATTGTAATTGGAAACATACGAGAATAGATTGGTTAATGTCGTAAAATTAAATACAGAGTTATGCCCCTTTGGCCATCATTGACGGCTTTTCCGTTTCGATGAGCCAAAAAGAGATACACTATTTATTATATGGTCATAACTCGTTGCGTAAATTGTGAAAAGGAAAAAAAACCAGATATGCTTCTGGTGTTGTGTAGCCAATCAAATCTATTTCTGTTTCTAAATAATATGTTGGCTCAAAATATTTATGATATGAGAACAACGCATGGCATAGAATGGCAGATATACACAGGCGGCTGGTAACAAAGTTACCATGCAGACTGGAAAAGAGCGCCTGGAATATAGCTTCTCTAAGAAAATAATAAGGAATGAATACAAAATGATATTTAGAAAGTGGTAGAATGTAACAAATGTTATATTTGGGGTAACACTTCCTAGTAAAGTACAGAATCTAGTAGACTAAAATCTAGTCTCTGAAATGAACATATCGTACATAAAAAAACAGTTGTTTAGTTATCTTAATAAAAATATAATAAAAAGGAGCCCAGTGACTCTCTTCATTTTCAGATACTGCAGTGATCTAGACTTGCCAAACATTATAGACTTGCATGGGCTGTATTTGATATATATTTGTATCAGGGTCTGTAAGACAGACTAAGATTCTAGTACTTGTTTTGGAAACGAATCCTCACCGATGTTCTCATTTGGACACCCCAGATATTTCCTAGAGGCAGATGATATATCAAGTTAGTCTTCTACTTTCACGAAAGCTTTAACAACAATATTACGAGGCTTCTTCGCGTCCTTTTATCGGGTGAAAGTACAAGGAGCCTTGTGTAGAAATAACTGTACATTGTAATACAGCTGTAGTTTGAAAACAACATGTAGTATTCGCCATACAACTTTCTAGAAATGTAATACATTGTTATACAGCTGTAGTTTGAAATAGTATTATAGTTTAATATAGTATGGCATGTAGTTTGAAATATACATTCAATATTCGCCGTACAAATTTCTCGTAATGTACATTGTAATACAGCTGTAGTTTGGAATATACATGCAATATTCGCCATAAAACATTCTCCCAATTAACATTGTAATACAGCTGTAATTTGATATATACATGCAATATTCGCCATACAACATTCTCGCAATGTACATTGTAATACAGCTGTAGTTTGGAATATACATGCAATATTCGCCATACAACATTCTCCCAATTTACATTATAATACAGCTGTAGTTTGAAATATACATGCAATATTCGGAATACAACATTCTCGCAATGTACATTGTAATACAGCTGTAGTTTGGAATATACATGCAATATTCGCCATACAACATTCTCGCAATGTACATTGTAATACAGCTGTAGTTTGAAATATGCATTCAACATTCGCCATACAACATTCTCGCAATGTACATTGTAATACAGCTGTAGTTTGAAATATACATTAATATTCGCCAAACAAAATTCTCCCAATGTACATTGTAATGCAGCTTTAGTTTGATATATACATGCAATATTCGCCATACAACATTCTCGCAATGTACATTGTAATACAGCTGTAGTTTGAAATATGCATTCAACATTCGCCTTACAACATTCTCGCAATGTACATTGTAATACAGCTGTAGTTTGAAATTTACATTAATATTCGCCAAACAAAATTCTCGCAATGTACATTGTAATACAGCTTTAGTTTGATATATACATGCAATATTCGCCATACAACATTCTCGCAATGTACATTGTAATACAGCTGTAGTTTGAAATATGCATTCAACATTCGCCATACAACATTCTCGCAATGTACATTGTAATGCAGCTGTAGTTTGAAATATACATTCAATATTCGCCATACAACATTCTCGCAATGTACATTGTAATACAGCTGTAGTTTGAAATATACATTCAATATTCGCCATACAACATTCTCGCAATGTACATTGTAATACAGCTTTAGTTTGAAATATACATGCAATATTCGCCATAAAACATTCCGGCAATGTACATTGTGATACAGCTGTAGTTTGAAATATACATGCAATATTCGCCATACACCATCCTAGCAATAGTCATTTTAATACAGCGGTAGTTTGAAATAGTATGCAATATTCGGCATGAAAAATTCTCGCAGTACATTGACGTACTTGTGTCTTCGTCTTGGAGTATACAAAAAATACATAACATAGTAAACAAGAAAATATGCTCGAAAGTGTCAATAATGACTTCCTACCTGGACCTTAAAAGTTTAATAAACTCTGGCTCCAACTTCCAACCTGCCACAAAGCAGGTGATGCCCCGCTTGTAGAACGAAACCTGCATGTGCCATTCGTAGGGTTTGTGATCGTGACCTGTAATAAGACACACGACTTTACACGATAATCCCCGTGTACGCCCCCAGAGTGTTTGTTGTTCACAGGGTGTGTTAGGGTGACGGTGCATGTATTTGTCTTGTGTTTTCAGGCTGAGCACGTGTACAGTGCGACCTCGTTAATTCGTACTCCTACGGACCGCTCAACACGTGGTGAGTTATCCGTGGTTCGGGACACCCGGAGTGTCGATTTTAAACCATTGTGTGAACTATGTAATTAAGTTATTTCGTCTTAAACGTATCGAGTTCACCCGTACGTTTGTGAGTCTGGATCCGCGCCTAAATTAATGATTCATTGAGAGTTGGTTATCGACTACATGTTCAATTGAATCATATGTTTATATTTTATGTATTTTTAGGTCATATATTTTCCTTTACCTATTTGAAGAAGACAGAGACTGGGAATATGAACGTTTTTATGACATAGTGTCTTTAAATATTCACGTGATATCCTCAATGTCCAAACTGTGACTTGGATGTTATGGAAACCAAACTTTGCAATTCACCTAAATCCATAAAACACAAAACCAACATTTCGTAACAAGTCTAGTGTGTGTAAAATTGTAAGGTACCCATAGTCTTACTTTTAGCTATAAGTTTGTGTTGATTACTTATCTGATTCTTCTGGGGCGATTTGTATGTTTTGTGTATTACCTTATATTATGCAGATATAATCATGATTCCAGGTTTGTCAGCACAATCGCGCAATTGGGATACGATGAGATGCATCAACCAAGTCAGCGAGCCTGACCACCCGATCCCGTTAGTCGCCTCTTACGACAAGCAAAGTCGCCTTTTACGGCAAGCTTGTTCGCTGAAGACCTAGTCAGACGACTCTAGAGCCGAGGCTCAGATGACTCCCCTTAGGCCGAAACAAACCCCCCGGCGTAGGCTCAGATAACCCCCCAGGCTCAAATGACTACCCCATTTGTTTCGAAGAATACAAAGGTTTTGACACTAATTTGCAACAGTCTGTGAAAGTCGTTCACAAATAATATATATTTTCGATGATACAACACAGTATTTTCGATGATTGCACCCCATTGTTTTTACATATTGTGAAATTACCAGATTTTTTCGAAACAAGGGGGAGTCATTTTGGGTCCAGTAGGGGGTTAGCTGAGCCTAGAGGGGGTGTTTTGAGCCAGGCTAGAGGAGTGGTTTGAGCCTACTACACTGGGTCAGCTCTTTTAGGTCTGCTTCACGACGAGTATGGCAAACTGGGGACGTGTATTTCCCGGGAGTCCCCATAGGGTTGGTGTAATCATTACCAAGCCTGTAATTAGCCGAGTCATGAAGAGACACGTTTCATTACAACTCGGCGTAACAAACTCAGCGTTCTCATTTTGTTTTGACTATAGTGTAATTTATCAACACAGAATCGATTTGGACAGTCAATCATATGTTCACACAGCAATACTCGTACATCTGTGACCATGCTAATAATTTATCGATAAACCCGACAAGCAAGCGGTTCATAGAGTCATGGATACGTTCAGAGAACATGTAACATGTAACACATGGCACGGAAACCATTTGGATCGCAAGTAATTTGAACTTGAAGGTGTTTACGTGGATACAGTGACAACGTAGTTGTATAGACCTACATGTACGTACTTCTGAAGCCTTACATTGGGTAGCAAGGTAAGTTTATTTAAGGCAAGGGTGCTAGTATCATCCATGCAAGTATACACATAAGGCTTTTATCACAATCTGAGAGATTTAAAGGGCTGCGACCTTTGTGCCACCTTTGAGCGATCAAAAACTGACCAGGACGCTCAATGGTCGCCTGAACCCAGAAAATCATGTTTCTATGTACCTGCTCCAGCAGTTCTTCAGCAGTAACTGCTCGAGTTGTTCAGCGTCTACAACCACACTGAAACACTGCAGGTACAAGCCCTCTATTTACAGGCAGGCTGAGGAGGCACTACAGGTAGCTCAAAGGAAGCAGAAAAAGAAGCAGAAGCATTGCCATGGTGTCTCAAGGGTTGCCGCTGTCGCTGATGGAGGCACGGCGGTCGCCACAGTCATCGTTCATCGCACAAAGGTCGCCATCCTGTGTAAAGGCCCCATTATTGAGAATATTTAAGATGCCATGGTGTAGCGGGCAAACTTACATAGCACGGCAACAAACAAAACAAACTGGAAACTGTGTTATTGAGGCTTAAAGTGTTCAATCGAGTGGAATTTAATCTAATATTTTCAGATATTCCGTTGTTACATATATGATGAATAAAGATGTATGTTGTTCACAGAACATATCAACGATGAAGAGGGCGACAGGGTCTATATCGATATTCTCCAAGGCCAATGTTAATACCATCCACTCCCAATGGGATGACGTGCTGCCTGTACCCAAACTCAGCTTCTCTGTTGCATCTGTCTTCGTGTTCTGTCTGGCGGTACTGTCTTTCGCGAACAGTCGTGATGGGGAGTTTGTGTTTGACGATTACTTTGCCATCACAACCAACAAAGACGTGCTCCCCGAGGCCCCGCTGTCAAGCATT